AATATTCTGTACTTTTTTGTAAGTGCTTAATCACTTTCAGTAAGTATTTAATATGTATATTGTTAATCACCCCTCACACTAAATAGTCATGGATTTTTCTAAATTTTATTGTATTTTGTGATGGTTTAAGCACTTGTGATGTACACAATGAGTTGTATCTGGGTATTGGGAGGAGTAAAATATGATTAGTAGAAAAACATGCCTATTTCTAACAACAGAATTCATTATTGATGAATAGATATATTAAGTAAGATTAAAAGGATGAATTATTTACCTTTTAAAAAGACTTGGTTACTTTTATCTCTTTGAATCTAAATTTTGATTTTGATTTAATAACAGAAATGATTTTTCTCTTTCCCTAGAAACTACTTTTCTATTAATCTGTCTTCTTTGGAGCTAATTAAAAACATGTTTTTCCATTGAAGGCCAACTGTGATTTGAGAAGGCAGATTGATGAACAGCAAAAGATGCTAGAAAAATACAAGGAACGATTAAATAGATGTGTCACAATGAGCAAGAAACTCCTTATAGAAAAGGTTAGTGCATTAATGGTGGCCTGAGCTCTGTATTCCAAGATACATAATGTATGTCATTGAGTGGCTTTTTACTTCTTACCTGAGATGAAAATATTTTGTAAAATAGGGGTTTTAGAAAAAGACTTCTTGTTTTTTGATAATTAGAATTATTTTCCTTGCATGAACATCAGGTGTGCACCATTGCTTCCGGTTTCTTTGCATGGACATCAGACCTAGCCTCCAGAGTGATAAGAGGGATATACCTTCTGGCTGTTTAATTGTTTTGAGTATGATATTGACAGCTTATTCTAGTGGAGTTTGGTTTGTTTCTTGATCGCCCCCCACACACTTTTTTTTTTTTTTTTGTGGTGCTGGGGGGTTTGACCTTGTGCATGCTAGCCTAGCATCTACCACTGAGCCATGCCCCTAACCTAGGGTTTGCAATCTTAAATTTTTATGTTTATCTGATTAATTGAAGTGAGTATATTATTACTATTTATAAACATTTAATGATAGTGAGATTTTTCTTTCAAAGATATTTGGAATTCCTTTTGTTTATAATAATGTGATAATTAAGTGCTTTGTGCTTCAAAAAAATGAAGTTGTCATATTTTTGCATATGATTACAAATTGGTGGATATTCCTTTACTATAGTAATTGGTTAGTTGCAGCCTGCCTTTAGTAGTTATTAGTAACTATTTCTTAGAAGTTTTAAAATGTCAGTACTTCCCAATGAAGTTATTAAAAGATTATGAGCTGGAGAATTGACCATTTTACTGGTTACTTTTCTTGAAAAATTTGGAATGCTGTTAAAGGTTAAAGGAGCATAGTCTTAGTCAAAATGAAAGGGATTATTTTACTGAGATCAAAGATACTAGGAAGAACTTTGCTTCATTTCTTTAATTATTAAACAGTTTTATAGAAGGGAAATTACTTTGTTACATTTTCATGAGAGAGAGAAATAATATTAACATGTTAATACAGAGAATGTATTTAAAATTTCAGGACTCTTCCTGAAATCAACATGGATTCATCCAGTTGTACTAAACTCTGAGTAGCATAGTACAAAAAAACAAACATAATGCCATCTCCTCAGTTATCATAGAAAAATACAATTTTATATTTGTTAATAATAATAGATAATTTAGATTTGTTTATAAAATAATTCAGTTTTCTAAATATGAGTATTTATCAAATGTCCGGTATACCATGCTGGAGTATAAAGAAACAAATGAAAATGCCACTACAGATTGAGAGGAAATATTAATAACATTAAAAGTTTTTAAAATAAAAATATGTAAAGATTCCTATAATTAAAAAAAATTAAAAATGTGAAAAGATGGAGGTGGCAGTGTAGCTCAGAGATACAGCACTTGCCTAGCATATAAAAGTCTCTGGGTACAATCTCCAGCACTACCCAAAAAAGAAAGAGGAAAAATAAAATAAAATATTAAAAAAAATATATTTTTAATTGCAGATGAACACAATACCTTTATTTTTATGTGGTGCTAAGGATCGCACCCAGCTCTTCACACATGCAAGGCAAGCACTCTTACCACTGAGCTACACTCCAGCCCAAGCAAAAAAAATCTTGAACAGAAACTTTATAAAAAAATTATAGATATCTAAATGGTCATCATATGAAAAGATGCTGCACATTATTAGGCATCTGGGAAACTCAAAACTAAGACCATGGTAGGCTGAATACAATGGTGTTCACACCCTATAATTTGAATTACTCTGGAGCTAAGGCAGGAAGATCACAAGTTCCAGGCTAGACTTGGCAATGTAACTAGACCCTGTCTCAAAATTAAAAAAAAAAAAACACTTAAAGTTCTGGAGGTGTAGCTCAGTAGTAGAATATTCCTTGGGACCAACAAAAACAAACAAACAAAAAAACCAAGTGAAACCATATTATTATATACATATAATGAAAGTAAAAACATTGACAGTATCAAGTGCTGGTATAGATGTGTTGGTGTCCCAATTTCTTATACTAGTAGGAATGTAAAATTGTATAGCTGCTTTGGAAAACTTGGGACAATTTTTTTGTTTATGGTGGTTCTGGGGATTGAACCCAGGGGTACTCTACCATTGAGCCACGTCCCTAATCCTTTTCATTTTTTGTTTTGAGGCAGGGTTTCACTAAGTTCCCTGGACTGGTCTCAAACTTGTGATGCTCCTGCCTGAGCTTCCCGAGTTGCTGGGATTACAGGCGTGTACTACCATTCCTATCTGGGGCAATTTCTTTATTAAATATATACACTTACTTATATGCTTACCATTTGACCCAGCAGTACCACTTCTGGTTTTTACTCAAGAGAAATAAAAGCAAATGTCCACAAACCGATTTGTACAGGAATATTTATAGCAGTTTTGTTCACAGGTGTCTAGCAACAGGTGAATATGTAAACAACTTGTGGTTTGTTCATACAATAGAATGCTACTTGGCAGTGAAAAAGAATTGACACCATATAAGTAACAACATGCATGGATCTAAGAAACATAAAACATGGCTCCTATCCCCAGAGGGCTAATAGTCTATGTGGGGTGGGGGGATTAAGATACATTCACATTCACAAAGAAACCTTTTCAAGTAAGCAGTTTTATTAAGAAATTGGCTGAAGGAAATCAAAAGCAGGGCACTAATTGGGGGAAGCTACAAGAAAGATGTTTTAGGTAAGTACAACTGCAGGTTTATATTGCCTGTCCATTAAAAATACATAGTACAGCTTAGGCAGGAGTATTACAAGTTCAAGACCAGCCTGGTCAATTTAGTGAGGCCCTGTCTCCAAACCACACCAGTTTCCAGGAGATGACCCACAGTCACCCGGTGGTAACCTTAATGGTCAGTATAAAGACCCGAGTGAGGCAAAAATAAAGTTAAAATGCACAGTAGAACCAGGCATGGTGGTGTATGCATGTGATTCCAGCTACTCTAGAAAGTGAGACAGGAGATTTGCAAGTTCTGGGTCAGCCTAAGAAATTTAGACTCTGTCATAAAATGAAATGAGATAAAATAAAACAAGGGTTGGGTAATATCCTCAGTGGTAGAGTGCTTGCCTATCATATGCGAGGCCCTCAGTTCAGTCCCCAGTGCTGCCAACAATAAATAAATAAAAATGCATAGGACATTTCAAGTAGGTGTATCCCATGATATTATCTCTCACAGTACTTTGTTCTTTTCCTAAAAGTTCTTTATTAGAGTTTGTACTTAGAATTACAGATCAAGAAATTCAATGGTTGTATTCCCCTCTTGGCCATAAACATCATACTTTATACTAAGTGGTCTTACAATTCCTGTCATGTAATGAATGAAGTCCTCAAGAATCAGAAGTACATAAAGTGTCCTGGAATAGGAACCCTGTGGGGAGGTGCACTTGATCTTCCATGCTCAGTGGAGGAATGGAGGATGTTTTCATGTCAGAATCTAGAGTTGGGGAGACAGAAGCCATGGAAGGTTTGGCACATCAGAGTGGAAGTGTGCAAAGTGATTTTCTTACTTTTTTCTCAGTACTGGGTATTGAATTCAGGGCCTTCCTTGGCCATGCCGAGCGAGCATTCTACTGGTGAGCTATGTACCCATCCCTCAAAGTAATATATTAAGAAGATGAATTGATAGCAGGTCTCTAGAACAGATTGGAGAGAAGAAACTGAAAGTAAAGAAACAGCTTAGTAGTTGGGCATTGCTGTGGTGCAAATATAATATGCTGATAAGATAAAAAAGACTAGGCAGATGGGAGAAATTTTACCAAAGAAGAATTCACGGTTCTTCACTAGCATATCCTGTCTACTTTGGGAATACTGTTTCATCTAAGGAGTCATTACTGACTGTTTTGAGATGTTGTGTGGTTTTTCAATATATTTTCCATGAAAATCTTAGAATTTTGAGTTTCTAAAAAGTGTCTGTCTCCGTGCTAATTTGATGATGAATTCCTTTTTTTTTTTTTTTGATCCTTTTCCCATAAGTCAAAACAAGAGAAGATGGCATGTAGAGATAAGAGCATGCAGGACCGCTTGAGATTGGGCCACTTTACTACTGTCCGGCATGGGGCCTCTTTTACTGAACAGTGGACAGATGGTTATGCTTTCCAGAACCTTATCAAGTAAGTGAATTGTCATGATTAATTGAAAAGTTTGGATTTTTCAAGTTTTCTGTTAATTGTAGTATTAATAATCCTAGTAGTCATAGTCATCTTTTCATTGAGTTTAGTTACCATTTGTATAAAGAAATGTAGGGGGCTGGGATTGTGGCTCAGTGGTAGAGCGCTCGCTAGCACGGGCGGGACCCGGGTTCAATCCTCAGCACTACATTACAAATAAAGGCATTGTGTTGTGTCCATCTACAGCTAAAAAATAAATAAATATTTTTTAAAAATGTAGAGAATTAGAAAAGGTCCTGAAAAAATGACAAGTAATCAGAGGAATAGAAAGTGAGTTCTTCATTAAAGCTTAGAATAACAAAAATTGATGAAGGTAAGGAAGGAAAAATCTAGTATTGATATTTTAATTAGGTAATGTATTTGTGCTTGTGTGTGGTACTGGTTTGAACGCAGGGCCTTACACGTACTAGGCAAGTGCTGTTCTACTGAGCTACATCCCTAAGTAGTGGATTTTCATGAGGATCCTCTTGAGCATTTATTTGGGGCCCACAGAAAAATGAAATGGGTAAGGGCCCATGGCAAGATTTTTTAAGTTAGGTATAAAACAAAAGAAAACCAAAGAAGATCCTTATAGAACATGTCCCTGAGGCTCTTTAAAGAGTGATCAGGGATTGGGGTTGTAGCTCAGTGGTAGAGTGGTAGAGTCTTGCAACTTGAACTCTTTATCATAACTTTTGGGTCAAACATTCAGGAATTTATTCCAAAGAGGGAAATAATATTTAAAATCCTAAAATTCTGACTCTGTGAATAGCTGTTATTAGCTCAGAACTGTAAAAATTATATATCTTCTAGTTGTAGTACCTTTTAGCATATCTTACTTATTTTGATTTATTAGGTTATTTCCACCTGAAACTTGAGGGCAAGTGGAAACATTATATTTTTAATCATGGGCTCTCCAACTTTTCTCTCCAGATCACAGTGAGTTGGAAGGTTCCAGAGATTGATTAGCTTGTTGAATACAAATTAGTGTGGGGTTACTTTTGAGCAATAATGAGATGTAAATACAGTTTATGCCTGAAAGAAAATAGAATTTTTTTTTAAATAGAAATTAAAAAAAAATTTTTTTAGTTGTAGATGGACACAATACCTTTATTTATTTATGTATTTTTTTATTATTTTTATTTTGTAGTTGTAGATGGAGAGAATGCCTTTATCTTATTTGTTTATTTTTATGTGGTTCTAAGGATCAAACCCAGTGCCTCACACATGCTAGGAAAGTGCTCTGCCACTGAGCTATACCCCCAGCCCTAGAAAGAAGAAATATTGATGCTATTTTTAATAATCTGTTATAAGTAACCTCTGAATTACACATTAGTAGTCATTATTTTGTATATGGAACCTTAACCTCCAACTTAGTTGAAACGCGTTTTCACTTCACAAATATGCCTCAAATTTTGGTATAAGAGGAGGTTATTAAGTCAGAAAATACCCTGAAAGGAAAGTAGACTTCAGTTAGGGTAGATATCAGAGGTTTGGAGCAGCGTCTGCTCTGAACTATAAGCACTGGAGCCTGGTAGTAGCTGAGGTGCACCAGGGCAGTCACTCCAAAGTAAGGTATGACACCCATTTCATGGCACCCTGACTGAGATGAGAAAATTGTCCAGTTTCCAGAGTTGTGAGGACAGTAGCAGAAAATGTTTAAAACCTATATTTTCAGACTAGGGATATAGCTCAGTTGATAGAGTGCTTGCCTTGAGTGCACAGGGGCCTAGGTTCAGTCCCCAGCACCACAAAACAAACAAACAAACAAATAAACAACAACAAACCTCTATATTTTTATTAGTAGCCAAAGTCATGCAAAGCTCAGACTGTGTCCTGATTGCTCCTACCACCTTTCTACAGTGACTGCCTTGTTAAATGTCATTTTAGACATTGACTCAAAAAAGGTGGTGGGTTTTTATAGATATAAAATGTAATTAGTTTTAAGAAGTGATTAGGGTTTTGCTGGAAGTAGCAGTATTTTATCTTATTGCTCTGTAAACAATATAATACCCAGAAGGATCTAGAAATCTTATACTAATCAGAATACAAAATGATAATTGTATTATAAGAGCAAATTAAGACCATGTCAATGGGATACCTGACCAGAATTGTTTCCTGTGGGTTGGTAGAATGTTTTTCATAGGTCTAAAACTAAATGGTAGGATATGTATCTCTTCCCTTGGAAAGCTATTTTCAGCTGATGTCTCTTAATTATAAATCTCTTATTTCTTAATGTTTTGCTTCAATAAATTATCTTTCTCACTTTCAAAGTAAAAATCCAATTTTTTCTTAGTTACAAATGGACACCTTTGTTTTTTCTTTCTGTCTGTCTATCTATCTATCTATCTATTTTTATGGGTGTCAGGATTGACCATTGACCCCAGTGCCTCACATACACTAGGCACGCGCTCCAGCACTGAGCTACAACCCCAGCCCCCCAAATTGAAATTCTTTAGTTGTAAAAGGCACTATATATGATAATTTCACAAGCAACAATTCTGTGCATAAGAAATTTCATGACATGTAAAGAAGTTTAGTAGGTGAAGTAGCTGAACAACAGACAGCAGTGCTAGGTTTTATGTGAAGAGACAAACTTCAAGACTAGGGGCAGAGGGGATGTAGTACTAGAGATTGAACCCAGGGTGCTTTTCCTCTGGGATGTACCCCCAGCATTTTTAATTTTTTGTTTTCAGACAAGGTCTAGCTAAGTTGCCCAGGCTGGCCTTTAACTTGTGATCATCCTGTGTCAGCCTTCCAAGTAGCTGGGGATTATATGTATGCACTGCTGTGTCTAGCAAACTTCAAGATATTTTTAAAAAATGGATCAGATAATCAGACAGCCTCATCAGGAGCCTTAGCACAGTTCTTTGGTTCTTACTTTGTTCCTTTGAATGCTCTTTAGTTTTCTAAAACAAAGTTTTCCAATAGGCACATGATACCAGATTTGTACATTTCTGGCCATATTAGTAATTTTTGCTTTCAAAGTATGTTTGAACCAGTTGAAAATAGTTTTATTCTTCAAAAGTGGTGTTCTGGGGTTCTAGCTCAGCTGTAGAGCCCTCGATTAGCATCTGCAAGGGGCTGGGTTTGATCCTCAGCACCACATAAAAATAAATAAAGATATTGTGTTCGACTACAACTAAAAATGTGTGTGAGCTTGTGTATTATTTATTTATTTATTTTTTAAAAGTGGTCTTGTATACTAGTGTTTTTCAATACTTTTTCTTTTTGGTACCGGGGATTGAACTTGATTGAGCACTTGATCCCCAGCCCTATTTGTATTTTATTTAGAGACAGGGTTGCTAAGTGCCTGGCTTTTGCTGAGGCAGGCTTTTTGAACTCCCGATCCTCCAGCCTCAGCCTCCCAAGCCACTGGGATAACAGGCATACACCACTACAGCTCAATACATCTTTTAAAAAAATTCAAATGTCTCAGTGGTAAAGCAGTAAAAATTCTTGACTAAGATTTTGTTTATATTGAAATAAACAACATTAAAGAATCTGACATCCCTACAAAATTTTGATCAATTAAGTGTGGAATATCAGAGGGAATAAATTAAACTTTATAGCTTTGCAGTGCTAATCCTGGTATTCTGATGTGTATGGGGCTTATCCATTTTAAAGCAGTTTCTGGTGAACCATCTGATTCTTAGTCATATGATCCATAATGAGACCATTCATTTTGTTGATTTTCTTGTCAGATCTTGCTTGAATAAGCCATACCATTTCACAGTTCCCAATATATACAAAATATAGCCTGGGGATTTTTAAAAAATTCTCTTCTGAGATGTTCATGTGTCGTTCATACAGGTCTTCTTTAAAAAAAAAAACAAAAAAGACTTTTTCCTCCTTCAATAATGTCTGAAAATTTGTGCATTTGTTTTTTGTTTTTATTTTCATTCTTCTGCTAGTTATTGCTAGTGTGGTTGGATCTGAAATATACTTTTGCTATAGAAGATTCCCTTTCATTTCCTTGAGATGCTGTAACAAAATACCATGAACTTGTGGTTTAAAATAACAGAAATTGCCTATAATCCCAGCCTTTTGGGAGACTGAGGCAGGAGGATTGCATCATTGGGTCAGCCTGGGGAATTTAGCAAGATCCTGTCTCAAAAGAGATTTTATAAAAGAATTGGGAATGTAGCTCATTTATAGAGTGCTTGGCTAGCTTTCCTGAGGCCCTGAGTTCTATCCTGAGTATCACAAAACGACAACAACAACAACAAAAAAAATATAGGAATTTCTTCATTTTTCTTTTTTTACTATTTATTTTTTAGTTGTAGTTGAACACAATACCTTTATTTTAATGTTGTGCTGAGGATCAAACCCAGAGCCTCACATGCGAGGTGAGGGCTCTACCACTGAGTCACAACCCCAGACCCCAGACCCCACTCCCCAGCCCCCAACCACCACCACCTCACCCCTACGGAGGAATTTATTCTTTTTACAGTTCCCAAGACCAGAAAGTCAAAAGTAAAAGAGTGGCAAGCATATGGGGAAGATCCTTTTTGGCCTCTTCCAGAGATCCTGGCTTGTGGCTGCATAACTTCAGTCTTTATCTTCATCTTCATATGGGGTTCTCCTTATGTATTTCTGTTCCTTCTCTCTTTTTGTGGTGGGGTGGGGGGAGATGAGGGGTTCAGGGATTGAACCCAGGGGCACTTAACCACTGAGCCACATCTCCAGCCCCGCCCCCCCTTTTAAAATATTTTATTTAGAGATAGGATCTTGCTTAGTTGCTTAAGGCCTCACTGAGTTTCTGAGGCTGGCTTTGAATGCATGATCCTCCTGCCTCAGCCTCCTGAGCCTCTGGGATTACAGGCTGCATCACCATGCCCAGCTTGCTCCTTCTCTTTTAAGGACACCAGGCATATTGCATTTTGTACTAAGGGCTTACCCTATGGCAGCACGATCTCCTCCTCCCCCTTTTATTTATTTATTTAGCATTGGGGATTTAACCAAGGGGCACTTAACTACTGAGCTACATCCCCAGCTCTTTTTATGTTTTATTTTGAGGTAAAGTCTCACTAAGTTATTTGCTTAGGGCCTTACTAAGTTGCTGAGGCTGGATTTGAACTTGTGATCTTCCTGCCTCAGTCTCCTGAGCCACTGAGATTTCAGGTATGTGCCACTGTGCCTGGCTTAACTAATTACTTCAATGAAGTGAGGTCATATTCTGAGGTACCGGGACTAGGACTTTAATAGAATTATTTAGATTTCAGTGAGATGAATTTATTGGGTATTCAAAATTTCTATAGAAGATAGAAGAAATACTCTTTTCATGCTTGTTGTAGGACAAGTACTCTCTAAAACTGATACTACACATGAAATATTTAAGCATCAGCTCCATGAAAGGTACTGTTTTATGTGCTAGAGGATATAAGAGTTGGAAAGACATGATTCCTATTTTAAGAGAAGTTAACAGTTTATCAAGATAGTGTGGACTTTGTACTCCTCAGATAAGCCTAAATGAAGATTCTCATTAGATGACTTTTGTTCTTCTGTATAAATAACTAAACAGTTTTAGGAATATCAAGAATTGTTGTAGAGAGCTGGGCACTGTGGCACACATCTGTAATCACAGCTACTCAGGAGATTGAGGCAAGAGGATCAGAAGGTGGAGCCCAGCAATGTTAGTGACCCTGTCTCAAAAAATAAAATGGGCTAAGTCAGAATAGAAATCTGTATAACACTGATCTTTAGTGAATCAACTTTCATTCTTTCTCAGAATAGCTTAAGAGTTCCTTAAAGGTGTTTTGGAATCTTTGTATTCTATGCATATGACTCATCTATATGATGGCTGTGGGGCTACCTTCTTGTTGAACATGAAAAGATAAATGTGTGGATTCTCCCTGAAAACAATAAAGTTGATTTCTGAAATCTGAAGCTTACAAAGCACAGGTAGTCCTCTGAGGCATAATGTTGTGGTATTTTCCTAGGCCACTATAGTTTATAGTTAAAACTTCATAATGTGTAACTATTTCCAGGGAGTTCAGAGTGCTTTGCACTTGGTGCCTCCTAAAAAGGTGGAGATATGAGCTAAAAATGTTTTTCCCTTTTTTTAAATTGGGAAACTTATGTTCAGATAAGGTAAAGGTTTTCCTCAAGGACATTCATTGATGCAGAAGGAACATTACAATTTTAGCTAAGGATTCTCTCTCAACCCAGAATTCTTTCAAGTCACAAATTTTATATATTGGGGAGAGGGGTGAGTAGGAAAAAGCATATCTAATAGTATACAGATTTTTCAGGGAAACAAAACTCTTGAATGAAAACATTCAGTTTACTGTTAAATTGATGTCTTATCAGTGATCTCTAGCTCATGTAGAATCAAGGAGATGTTTGTTTGTAATACTCTGCTTATTTTAACCTTGCTTGTACTATTACCCTTCTACATATGGTAGCATAAATTATATATATTATGGCATCAAACCTAGAGGAATATTGTTTTGTTTTGGTTGCTATTCTATAAGAATATGGAACTGCATTGTTCAAGGAAGAGGTATTAAAAAAAAATAGATTTCATTATTCTGCAAGATTGATCCAGAAAAGAATATGGGAAAAAAAGACTTGTAGAAAGAGAGAGAGAAGGCAAAGGGAATTTTGACTATCAACTGTAATAGGTGATTTAAAGATGTTAGCCTGTTAAATGGTTAATCTGAAATGTTGGTATACTTTTATATTTAAGCCTGTAAGCCTTAGTATTTGTTTGGTGATGGAATACATGAGACAAAAGTGTTTTTTCTTATAATAGAATTTTTATTGGTTCCTAATTTTTAAACTATAAGTTGAATATCCCTTATCTGAAATGCGTGGGACTAGGAGTATTTCAGATTTCATAGTTTTTTGGATTTCAGAATATTTGCATAGACTGTACAGGTCAAAACATTCTTAATCCAAAATCTGAAAATCTCTGAAACTCAAAACCTTTATAGGGATGTTCTACGAGTAGATTTCTTTTTTTAAAGGAAAATAAGACATCTTATTAGTAAGTACTCCAATAGTAATAGTATTAAATTATCTGAAGATTTATAAAATACATTTTATACTATTTCACTTTATATACCATTCCCTAAGGAGTTACTTCATTAATAACTTCACAGCTAGTAACACTTCATTGGCTTTCTCTGAATATGCTTTTTTAAAGCTTAGATTAGGTGTGTCACCCTGCTCAGTGAGTGGAGATGATTTGGGGGATGCTAGAGGTTCACTTAGACTAGAGTAGTGATATTCCTAAAAAGAAAGTCTTGTTTACTTTGTCTAGCATTCTGCAAGCTTGATCTCTTTGTAAATTAAATTTGAGGAAGCTTTAATCCAAACAAAAAATAAAAGGGCACTTGGGACAGTCTGTATCGTCTTTTCTTAAAAACAACTCTTTTCATGGATTCATACTAGACTTGTTTTCATAACTGCTAAAAAGGAATCAGAAAATTTTTCTTTGGAGTCAGAAAGTAAGTTCATATTAGAAATTTGGTATTTTTTTTTTTCTTGTTAACTTTCCCTCTCCTTTTAAGACGTAACTATTGTCTTAAAGTACAGCTTCTTTCCAAATAATCTCTCACTAGTTATTTGGTTTCTTACTATCTGAAGGTTAAATGCAAATCTCTACTTAATTTAAGGAGCTTATGTTTTTCTGAAGTTTATCAAATATCCAGGTGACAAATTGTGTTTGTTCCTTAGCAGTAAGAACTTGTTTTACTTTCTTCTTCTGTCCACATATTTTATGTCTTTAGGCAACAGGAAAGGATAAATTCACAGAGGGAAGAGATAGAAAGACAACGGAAAATGTTAGCAAAGCGGAAACCTCCTGCCATGGGTCAAGCCCCTCCAGCAACCAATGAGCAGAAACAGCGGAAGAGCAAGACCAACGGAGCTGAAAATGAAACGTATGTTCTTTATTGATGTGAACAAATGTCTTATTGAATGGCACTGGGGACAGATATAAATTACAGAGGTCCCTAGTGTTTGAGATCTTTCCCATCACATTAATGGATTTGCCCAACTCATAAAAACCATATAAAATTAACTGACTTTCTTAGTCCTACACTTAGAATTTTGAATGAGAGGGAGAAATAATGTCACTTCTTGACAGCATGATTTTTGTCTAACCATCACAAATATGATTGCTTATGTGTGACTCTAAGTTCTGGTAAATTGGTGTTGTCTTGTGGTGATTACATGGCTACTATTTCAAACTAAAGAATGCTCCTTTACTGGTCAAAAGAGCACTTAGTTAACAGTTGTAAATTTAGGAGTAAGCCAAGAAAAAAAAAAAAAAAACTGTTGTTTCAGGAAAGAACACTTTCCCAGTAACTCATACTTTACTAGGGTCTTTTCCAGTTTTGAAAACCTAGGGAAAATTCAAGTATCTTAAATTGAAGCATAGTCATCTTTTGCTCTGCCAGTCAATAATTATTACATAGCTTTCGTGTATAGGAGGGGTTGAAAATCCTGAGCACAAATGTCTTTCTTTTCTATTCCTTTCTCCTTTTCTCTTTATTTGAAAGTAAATTTTCTGTTCTAAGATAGCCACAAATAAAAGGTATATTATATAGCTTATTGACTAATATGCCTTTTGTCTTTTTTATGTTTTTGTATCAGTTCACAAAAACATTGTAACCCATTATCCACTTCAAGTATACTACTTGTATTACAGCATTGTTAAAGGTCCATGACATCCCAGACATGCATATTCCTTATTCCAGTGAGAAAGATGGCTTAACACCAATCCTCACCCATACATACCTGATGTGTTGGGAAGTCTTTTCTTTGACATCATTTAGTAAGTCTACATTAAATGCTTATTTTAGGTTAGGCCGTGTTGTGGGAATATAGAGTTGAAGGATACAACCCTAGTTTTAGGAGTTCACAGTTTATTTAGGAGAGATGAGTAAACTTACTAGTAATTGTATAGAGAATAGTGATTAAAAAGTATGTACAGTACGGGGCGGGATGGGGGTGCTGGGGTTGTGGCTCAGCAGTAGAACACTCGCCTAGCATGTGTGACTGGGTTCGATTCTCAGCAATATACCATTTGGTGTTTTTTAAAAATAAAAAAATAAATGTATTCTGTCCAACACAATAAAATAAAAATAAAAAATAAAGTATGCAGAGTAAACTAAGTTTGGAAAATATTTCACCTTATAACTGAATGTTTTAAAACTTAAAGTCCAATTAAAAATTAGTTCCTTTCAAAAAGGCCCAGATTTGAAAGAGTCTTCAGACAGATTTAATCTGGTCATTGTTTTCTGAGTCCTGTGTTTATTTTGTGAAGGGACTCTCACTCTAGCATTGCTTGGAAATTATTTTGTGCTAACACACAAAACCATAGGCGTAGGAATAATAAAAACAAGATAGGGGTTTTTTGTTTTTGTTTTTGCCATTGAACCATAATTAGAATTCAGTCTAGGCCAATAGTATGTCAGTGAGTAGTTGCCATCTGGAGTCCTGTGTAAAATCCAAGCTAGGAGGCCTTTAGTTCACTTTTTTAGTTAGAATGTTTGTGACTTGACCCTTGACCAAAAGCCAAAGACAGGCCTCTTAAGTGAATCACTTTATCCTCTCCTGGTACTGAATCTGTTTCAGAGTGAATTCTTAACTATGATTTTTCATTTTTTCCCTTTTTTACTGGTATGAAGTAGACTAATAGATGGAGATATTTCTGCTGCTGAGAGGATAAATTTAACAGCTCTGGGGGATGTACTACTTTTTAATCATTCTATTTTCTTTGAGTTAGGCCTTAAGAGTTTTGTTTTTGGTTTTGTTTTTGTTTTGGTAGCCCTTTCTGCTGGATAGGATAACTTGTTTCCACTTTTGCTATTTAGAATATTCTAAACCTTGAGATTTAGAACACTGATTACTTCTTCATTCTTAAAATAGGAGGATATGATTAGACTTGGTGAAACATGAACTGAGAAATTACCCCATCAAGTTTACCCTTTGAGCATTGGTTTAAATAGCATTTTTTATATTCTTCTTTCTGCATTCTCATTAAAGTCACAGCACTTTGTTGGATAGGTGTTATTACTTGCCTAATTTTCAGGAAACTGAGTTGAAGAAGTTGACATTAGTTGCCAAAGGTCACATGGCCAGCATCCAAATCTTGGACTCTTTTAACCCTGTTTTTTCTCCTTGTTATTATACTGTCAAGATATAAGTTATCATGAATAATAAATTCATTGGCTTATTGCTTTTCCCTTTGAAGATTTTTAGACTTATTATTTGATCTGTCTCTTCAATAGGTTTTCATCTGAGCAATATATGAAACAAAACTCATTTTCACAAAATAATATAAACTATAGCTCAGTTATTTTTTTCATTTTTATGAATTAAGCATTTGACTTTGGAAGCATTTCTTCATAGTACATCTAATAAATCACAAAAGTTTTCTCTTATCAGAGGATGCAAAATAAATTGGTTTTTAGTCATTTTATCTGTGAGTCCAAATTTACCTTGTAGCATACTTGAATATTTCTATTTAAAAAGTCATTATTATTTAAAATTTACTGAAATTTCTACCATTACTTTTCAGGTTAACATTAGCAGAATACCATGAACAAGAAGAAATCTTTAAACTCAGATTAGGCCATCTTAAAAAGGTAACTATATTGAGGAAATCTGCCTGGAGAAGTGTGATTTCTAATTTTTGTTTGGTATGGAAGTTATTTGGTTATTTAAGCAAATAAGTAGTTTCACATACTGCAGAAGTCTTGAATAGATATTCTCATTGTCATGTCTTGTATAATGATGGGACTCATCTTTTGATTTTCAAGTCAATTCTAGTCACCCAATGACAGTATTTATTCCTTCAGTGTGACCTATTAGTGGATAAGTCTGTGTATATACATTATAAGGCTTCCCAAGTGGTTATGCATTGAATAAAACATACAGGAGCAGATGGTTCTGAAATAGATATTAAGACTCTTGGAATATTTTAAATCACTCAGTGTCTCTTATTTTCTTGACTAACCTAGCTAAGGAAGGTGTTGGACCAACCATATTCTAACACAGAGGCACCTAACAGAATTTGTAATTGATTCTGTTCATTGAGATATTTTAGATATATCTTGTCACATCTTAAATTCAATAGCTCATACATTATTGGTAGATGTTATTTATAGTGATGGTGGTCAATAAGCTTTTAATAAACTGCTGTTGTTGTGTATTTGTTTTTTATCCACAAATTGGTCTTTCTCCTTCCCTCCCTCCCTTTCTTCCTTCCTCCCTGGGATGGAACCTAGGGATGCTTAACCACTGAGCTACATCCTCAGCCCTGTTAATTTGTTTATTTTGAGACAGGCTGAGTTGCTTAGGGCCTTGCTAAGTTGCTGAGACTTTGAACTTGTCAGCTTCCCAATCCTCTGGGATTACAGGCATGTGCCACTGTGCCCAGCTTCATATCTTTTTTCTATTGGGTTCTCAAATCTTTTTAAGTTGGTGGAATTTAGGTACCAAGTATAATCCATACCTGAAGAAGAGAAGCAGATGGTGAACCTGATTTTTGTAAAAAGTATTTGCATGACTTTATGTTTATACATAAAATATTTTTACAAACTTACATAGAAACAGTGGTTACAGGGAGTGGTCAAGAAGAAGAAGGTGACTTTTGCTTTTCCTACTGAACTCTGTAGTTTAGATTTTATCTATTATTTGCTAGAGGCTTATTTGTATGATTAAGTTTCTAGTTTTTAAAATATTTTTCTCAGTGTAAAACATCTTCCATTAGCTTTTCACAAGAGCAAAGCCTATTGTTAGGCTGAGGGTATAGCTTAATGCTGGAGCATTTGCCTAGTATGTGTGAGGCTTTGGGTTCAATTCCTTAAATAAATAAATAATAGGCGTACCTAACAATTTTTGAAACAAGACTCTGAAAAGGTACCCTGTACCCTGAGCTGTTTTTTCCCTTTTTATTTCAGGAGGAAGCAGAGATCCAGGCAGAGCTGGAAAGGCTAGAAAGGGTTAGAAATCTACATATCAGGGAACTAAAAAGGATACATAATGAAGATAATTCACAGTAAGTAACTTGGGGTGTATTGGGTTGGAGATTGCTGAGCACTTTCTGACATGAATTGAGTGGTCTAGAGCAATGTTTTTGCTGAGTATGCATTTGAAAAATGGGTTGGGGGATGTAGCTCAGTAGTAGAACACTTGCCTTGGTTTCATCCCCATCAAGGCCCTGGGTTCATCCCCAGCACCACCAAAAAAAAGGTGGGGGGTGGGGATAAGTGACTCCACAGTGTATTTAGTTCTTTCATAGAATATAATACAGTTTCATTAGCAAAATTATGATCTGCTTTGCTTTAAATATAGATATATGTCATATTTAATATGTAAGCTTAGTATATCTAATACTAGTATTATATATGATAATAATACTAGTATTATAATACTAAGCTTATATATTAAATATATATGTGTGCATATAATATTTGTGTTAGCTATCTGTAGCCATTAGAGAATACCTTACATAAACAATTTAAAAGGTGGAAAGATTTTGGCTCACACTTTTAAAGTTTTTAGTCCACTGTCATTTGACCCTATCACTTAGGGCCTTGGCAAGTAGAACATCTTGGCAGGATGAACATGATGGAATAGAGCTGTTCATGGCTCATGGCAATCAGAAAGCAGAGAGAATAGTAAGAGTGTGAGTGTGAGTGCCAGGCTCCCATTATATCCTTCAAGGGAAAGTCCAAGTAGGCCTTACTTCCTAAAGTTTCTGCCACTTCCCAATATGCCAACAATTAGAAACCAACCCTTTAACATATGAGTCTTTAGGGAACATTCGAGATCCAAATATAATAGGATTTTTTACATGAGTAGAAGTCAATAAAATGATACAGCTTTGCAACTGTAAATAGGGAGGACTATATTACATATTCACATTTACCTGTGGATCCTTGAGAAAGGGAAGCATGGGCCACAGTGTGGTACTGTGGGAAGAATATTAGGTTGAGATGAAACCTGGTTTCATTCAGTGTAACAACTTTTTTTTATAAATCATTGAAAGTATGGAATATAGGAAAAGTGGACTTTAAGTGAGAAAGGACTTCTATCACTAATCTGTTCTTTCCCACATTTCTGACTCTGAAACATTTTTTCATGTCCACAGCTTATATATTGTCACTAAGCCAACATGAGCCATGGACTGTTCCTCTGCCAAATGGCAGGCACCAGCAGTTACCAATATCTGAGAATTTACTGTGTATTAGGCACAGCACTAAGCGCTCTGATAATCTAATATTTAATGCTCACAATAACACCATCATCTTCAATACATTGATCAGGAAACAAGTTTAGAGAAAATAAGTTTATTTGACCAGGAGACAATAACTGAGTAAGAGAGTCACTGAGCTACAACCTCAGCTCCAAATTTGAGTCTTTCTAATCTAAACAATTATGAAGTAATGTCATCTCCCCACAGGCATGCTACTTTTTTAAAAATAGAAATAATTTCAGGATTAATAGGCCAAGATTGGAACCAAATAAAAATACTCCTAAAATTTATTTTTGCCACGATCTGGCAAAATTAAACAAATTTATTTCTTTGTTGTATTGTTAGTAAATGACATAAAATGGAATTTTTTAATGGGGAACATAGTTATATCATAGACTTTTTATCTTAGAGAAAAATGAATGCACATGGAACATATAACTTACTTAATAATTACCCATTTTTAAGGCCATATAAAATATTTTGGAATTTTAGTGTGTAGAGTTTTGAAATGATGAAGAGAACATATGACTCAACAAATTTTGGAGGCACCAGATAGCATTATTTGAAAAATCCCTCTAACTAGTTCTAAGGAACTAGTATTTCCCCTTACTTTGTAGCAGGGCAGAAAGGGAGTGAGATCAAGAAAGGTCTAATTGTGGCCACACTGAGACTAGCACCACTATGACTATTTATTATAAATATACTGTGTTCTATGTAACTTTTAGCTTAAAGTTCACTGTAATAATGTCAGACTATCATCATCAGCTAAAATCATGTGTGTGATATGTTAGATAGTCTAGGAACTTTGTGAATATGGAATGCTATAGTCCTTGACCTCAGGATGGTTATACATTCCCTCTTTCCACAGATTTAAAGATCATCCAACGCTAAATGACAGATATTTGTTGTTACATCTTTTGGGTAGAGGAGGTTTCAGTGAAGTTTACAAGGTGAGTATGAACAACTGGGTGCGAAGATGTAGGATTAGATTTTTGGTTATTACCAATTTGGAGAACATATTAGAATAGTGATAACTGTGAGTTGATGTATACTGGTTGAAATCCAGAAGCTTTAAGAACCTGTATCTTTGAGAAGCCTGATTTTAGTAAATTTAAGTGACCATGTAGGATTTAATATTTCTCTGTTTTTAAGCTTGAAAAATAAGCAACTATATACCAGACTCATTTCTGGGTGGTGGGACTTACGGTGATCTTTAGTCTGGTTCTTTATTTTCTGCCTCATCTGAATTTGCTAGAAGTGAGTATGTGTTACCTTTATTCTCATAATTTTTTTTAAACAAAATAGATGTGTCAGTTATTTCTTATGTGAAAACCAGCTTTTTGGGCTCAAGCGGTAGCGCGCTCGCCTGGCATGCGTGCGGCCCGGGTTCGATCCTCAGCACCACATACAAACAAAGATGTTGTGTCTGCCAAGAACTAAAAAAAATAAATAAATATTAAAATTCTCTCTGTCTCTTTTTCTCTTTAAAAAAAAAAAAAGAAAGAAAACCAGCTTTTTGTTTTAATAAAGCTCTTGTCTAAGAGTATTTAGCAGCACTGCATTCAGGAGTATCCTCACATAGAGTGATTCAGTGGGGCCAGCAAAGTGCCAACTCCAGAACGTCCAGATTGATTTGCACCAAGTGGGGGTTCAGACAGCTCCAGATCTATATTGTGTTCACCAGTAATTTATCTACATGTTTCTGGCACTTGGTTATAGAATGCAAATGGTCTTCACTGCACACCTTTCCTTCTTTCCTGAGACACATCATTCTCTGTTATGATTTATGTTGTGCCCATATGGATTTACGTGTGAGAAATCTCTTAAGTAAAATAAATTGTTTTGTTTCAGGTAAAAACTAGTTCTACCATTTTTCTTTTTTAAACGTTAATTTTCAATATGATTTTTTTTTTTTTAAGAGAGAGAGAATTTTTTTTTAAATATTTATTTTTCAGTTTTCGGCGGACACAACATCTTTGTTTGTATGTAGTGCTGAGGATCGAACCCAGGCCGCATGCATGCCAGGCGAGCACGCTACCACTTGAGCCACATCCCCAGCCCCAATATGATTTTATACACACACACACACACACATACGTGTGTGTGTGTGTGTGTGTAAATGAAACTTTCTTTTTTAACCATTTTTAAGTGTAAAATCAGTGGCATTAAGTAAATTGACAGTGTTGCACAGTTGTCATTATTTCCAAAACATGCAGGTTTTTTTTTTTTTTTTTTAGTTGTAGATAATCAACATGCCTTTATTTTACTTATTTTTATGTGGTGCTGAGGATTGAACCCAGTGCCTCACACATGTGAGGCAAGCACTCTGCTACTGAGCTATAGCCCCAGCCCTCATATTCTTAATATGTGCTCATAAGTCTGACTGGAGGCCCATAGTCATCTTTTTGTTTGCAAGCAGCTTTGGCGAACTTTGATGTTATAGTTATTCTAGCTTCCTAGCACGAGTTGTGAAATTTTGCGCTACTCGGGAGTTGTTGGTTTCTTGAGTTTGTTAGAGCTGACTCCTTAAAATCACCTATGTGAGTGTCATTTTGGAAGGAAACATTTGCCCTTTTTTTTCCCAGTTCCTTCTATAGATACAGATCTTTTCAGATTTTCTTATTCTCCTTAAGTCAATTTAATTTTTTAAGAATCTTCTATTTCATCTAGATTTTTTAAAAATCCATACATCAATACTTCTTTTTCTCTGATATTTATTTTGTATTTCTTGACTGATAAACTAGAGATTACTCAGTGTTAGTAGTTTTTCTAAGAATCAACTTTTTATTTTGTTGAGGAAATCTACTGTTAGGGTCTGCTATTAGGGTATTCTATTATATTAACTTTTGTTTTCATTCCTTCCTTTTACTTTTTTTAAATTTCCCTCCCCTTCCTTTTTTTTTCCTTCTTCTATTGTTTTTGGAGAGGATCTCACTAAGCAGCTGAGGCTAGCCTCAAAATTGTTATCCTTCTGTCTCAGCCTTCTGAGTCACTGAGATTACAGGTGTGCTTCTTTACCCCTGGCTTATTTTCATTCTTGCTTACAAATTGCTTGTAAGTTTTTTTTATTGTTGGAAAAAGAATATAACACTGACTTTACCAGCTTAACCATTATTAAGTATGCAGTTCAGTAGCATTAAGTACACTCATAACATTGTGAAACAGGTCTCCAGAGCTTTTCAGAAACTTTGGCTAATTACCAACTCCCTTTTCCTCCAGCCCTTGGTATCCATTTTATAACTTTGTTTCTATGAACTTGACTACTTTTAGATACATCATATGTATAGCATCATAAAATGTATGTTTGTCTATTTTAATGACTGGCTTATTTCACTTAACATAATGTCTTTAAGACTCATCCATACTATAGCATGTGACGGAATACCTTCCTTTCTTAATATTGAATAATATTCCAGCCAGGTTTGGTGGTGGATGCCTGTAATCCTAGCTACTCAGGAGGCTGAGGAAGGAAGGTTACAAGTTCAAGGCCAGCCTTAGTAATTAGTGAGAACCTGTCTTGAAATAGTGATAATAACAATTGTCATCGTCCATTGTATGTATGTACCCCATTTCATTTATCCATTTCTCCTTTGTTGGTTCCTTGGGTTACTCTTACCTCTTGACTATTGTGAATAATGTTGCTGTGAACTTAAGTGTGCAAATATTATTTCAAGACTCAGAAAATGAATTTTTCCTTCATTGTTACAATTATCATTATCAAAATTTGTTCTTAATACTTCTCAGGTATTTTGAGTGACTTCATGATCATTTTTTCCTAGTGCGTTTCTTCAGACATTTTGATTTTTCTGCAATCTGTATGCTTCTTACAGCGATATGTACATTTCATGTAGTTATTCTTTTGCTGTCCTCCACTCTCCTAAAGTCCTTCTCATATAAGTGATAAATGACTGGGATTCAAGATAAGTTGTGGTAGTCGGAAAAAAAAATGACACTTGCAGTGGTATTAGTGCTGTTACAGACTAGGAGCTATTTAACCTGGTTTTCAGTGACCTGAAATGGTTTTCTATAATGAAGTCTTGATAACGTACATGCTTGTAGGTGGACTTCAAACTGTAAGAAAAATAGTTCTTCAAAAGTTTTATTTCTGTGAAATAAGATGATGTCTGAATTGAATGGTGCTTTTAATTTAAACCATCCTTGTTTTGACAAATGAGAAGTTGCCCCGTTTTATAAGCAGCCCCCTATTGCATGCTGTGCTTCACTAGTGGGGCTTACACTGTAAGAGATATGTGATAAGTGATCACCTCTGTTCCAGACAGTGTGTCTTTCACCTGTTGACTTCATCTGTTTGTAAATCATGGAAGGTAGCAAGTGGGTGGTAACGGTGTAGGAACTGAAGTAGTAAGCTTTTAGGATGAACCTTTAAAACTAAGAAGAACTGTTCATTCGGATGAGTTCCTCACTAAACTCTTATATGTTGAAGAAATGTACTGTTGTCTTAAAATAGTAGTTTATCAGTTTGTGATTTATACCCAACTTCTCAACAACTCATCTGTTAATTTTTTTTACCCCATGACATAGTACCTACCACCTGGCTGATTCAGGATTACTAGCAGTGGTGGTCTCTGTGGGAAGGCCTGTCCTCTTTTCTGGACAGTGTTGTAAAAGTGACTTAGTGTGATTTTGACAACTATTGCGATTAAAAACTCAATTCATCCAGCATTTAGGCATTTTTCCCCTGTTTTTATTTAATAAACAATATACCAAATTCCAAGGTGATTTTGTAATCATACCTAAGAATTGTATTCTGAAGGGCCTTTCCCTCCAGGAAGCAAGCAGTATGTGTTCCAGGATTTTTAAAAGTGGTAAGACTTACTGTTGAAGGGTGTGAAGTCCCAGAATCACTGAGGGACAAGAGACAACCTAAGGGAGGAAGGTCTCAAATGAGGAGAGATGACTTCCAGAAAGAGCATTTTTGGGAAAAGGCTGTGAAGGCATGGGCTGATTGTTTGTGGTATATGCTTGGGTTTGTTTTCTAAACCCCTTGGTGCCAGTGTGTCTGGAGACTTCTAAATTATCTAATCACAAGTTTCAAGAAGATGGTTGTAACACCAAAGCAAGTATGTGATGTGTTGTCATTTGCTGCAGTTTTAATTTAATAATGTATTTTAGACTTTGTGTTGATCTTTTAAGTAGAAGCTTCAAGTCAGTTCCCTGTAATTCTTGTAGCATTTATCTAGAATATAATTTATTCCTTTTCTTTCATAGGCATTTGATCTAACAGAGCAAAGATACGTAGCTGTGAAAATTCACCAGTTAAATAAAAACTGGAGAGATGAAAAAAAGGAGAATTACCACAAGTGAGTGATCTTAAGTTTCTGATTTTTCAAAATTTAGTAGTAGTAGCTAGAGTTTGAGCACTGTGCTAAGAGGTTTAGATGAATTGATGTTGGTTTTGTTTCATTTAATCCTCCTAACTGCCCTAGGAGAGCAAATATACTCTGATCTTACTGATGAGAAAACTGATATTTACTGAATTTGAGTAGCATTTAAGAAGTGGCTGAGCTGGTATTTAAATACAGATTTCCCTTAATCCAAAACCTCTACTCATAATTCCCCTTCCATTGTGACTAAAAATAGCCCCAATAAACAAAGCCTTGGAAAACATTGCTGCTTGTCTGTAGAAACCAAGTGAGAGTGTTCTTTAGTGGTCTAGGGACCCTGGGGAGCTCTGAGTGGGGCTCTTTGCTACTCCAGTTATTACTTTCTGGAGAGGGGGGTGCTCTTGGTATGCTTGCTTTTTTGTTTTGTTTTTCAGTATCTTTATTTTTATTTTATTTTTTTGAATTTATTTTTATGTGGTGCTGAGGATCAAACCAAGGACCTCACACTTGCTAGGCAAGCGCTCTACCCCTGAGCCACAACCTCAGCCCCACATATGCTATATTTCTTTGTTCTATTAATGTCATGATTTTCCTGTATCACTCTCTTTAAGTTTCCAAACACTGAATTCATGGTTCATTTGGTTTGGAAGCCCTAGACTTAAGTTGCTATTAGGATTCCTGCTGGGCTGAGTTTTGTTACCTTGAAGGTACAAATATTGAATGAGATAGTTCCCGCCCCTGAAAGGAGATAAGCCCCCTTTGGTACAAACAGCCATCTCCTGATTCTAGAGGCAGCTTTGTGTTTTTTCTCATAAATAATACTTTGGAGGGGAAAAAACAGTGGACTGAAAAGAAGCCTTTTTAGTGGCCTTCTAAATCTCAAGAGGAAAATCAAGCATTTTTTTTTCATCAATAAACAGTTCTTGAGACCCAGACCAAGGCAATTCTTACTTTTATATCTGCTATTGATTGGGGACCTGGAAATTCTTTCTGTTCCACACAGATTCCTATGATGCTAGTAATGAGAGCATGTTCCTGTGGCACTAAGAGAAGTGGGGCTTAGCACATAGGAAAAAAGGTGATGTGTACTTTACACTTGGCTGGCCTGTGGTATATCTTATGTGACAGGCAGCTTCAGTGCAGATATTCCTGAGGAGCAGATACATTATTATATGTTTCAGTGGCTTTATGTATTGGGATGAAAGATATATAGCAGTGGATGCCAGGAGCACTTCAAAGAAAGAAAACCATGTGTTGTTCTGACCAGTTATAAGTGAGAATTGTCCTTATTGTATCAAGACTCTTAAGAGTGGCTGAGGTTGTTGGAGCAATGCAAGTGTCCTCTAGTTATCCTTGGAGACTGTTCTAGCTTTCCTGTGTACTCACTGCATAAAACAGTTGACTGTACTAGGGACTAGCCATGGTCAATCTTGAAAATAGTCCCTGTGCTGGAGCTTGAATAGTCTCAAAATCCAGCTTTTAGGTTGACCTTAAGAGACCTTAGGAGAACTGTGGAGTTGCATACCACAGTAATTGCAGGAGGGCAACCTGCTCTAGCCTTTAAAAACAGTAAGGATTTGAAGCCAGGCCTTTGTCTTTGACACAGTAAGTAGATTGAGTCCCGGTGGGTACGGATTGGGTGTATTCTCACATTACTCTAACAGAGTGAGAGAGCAAGGGAAGGGGATTGTCATTTGTATAAGCTCCTTGCCATTCCAGCTCTGGCTGGCAGTGATACCTTTCTACTGTGTGTTTCCTCATGGCAGGGGAAGGGGGGGTGGGGGGGGGAAGGGCAGAATCATGGTGCTTGAGCACCATCGATGTCACCTGTGGCCAGGGACCACTTTCCATTTGTCAGACACAATTGGGAGGAAGTGTATCAAGTTCTTGGGACTTCCATTCTTTCTTGGAGGATATTCTTCAATATTTCCACTTTTTCCTTGAAATATTTGCTTTCTAAATGATATGAAGCCATTCTATGAATTTCAAGCTGCAGGAAATGCCAAGTGTCATTTAACACCTTTGAATTTAAAGAAGGCTTAAATCAAACACAAGATTTTGAAGAGTGCTTTAAAAATTCATTAGGCATGGTGCTGTCCATGTGTAATCCTAGCTGCTAGGGAGACTTGAGTATCACAGGTTCAAGGCCAGCTTGGACAATGTAGTGAAATCCTCTCACAAAATAAAAAGAGATAGGGGTGTAGTTCAGTGGTAGAGTATTCCTGGGTTTCAAGCCTCAGTATCTCAAAAAATATAATTGTTGTTGTCATCATCATCATCAAAATTTAAAAGTCTGGAGATGTAGCTCAATGGTACAGAACTTATATTTACAAGGCCCTGGTTTCAAGCAATATGAAAATGCTCTTACCCTGCCTTTTCATTGCTTACCCATTTTGGGGGATGATTTCCTCATCTCATTTGGAATCAAATCATTTATTTGAGTAAATAAAGAAAGAAAACCTCAAAAAAATTAAAAGTGGTTGTTTTGTTTTATTTTCTTTCTTCCTTATTTTTTCCCCCTGTATATGTATATATAGGCTAGGGATGTAACGCAGTAATAGAGTACCACTGGGTTCAGTCCCAAGAACTGAGAAAAAATAAAGAAACCGGGGTGGGGGGGTGTCTGGGGGGAATGAAGCTTGAGAAGAAGCAAAGTTGCTCAGAAGTGGCAACTTGAAAAATAAGTCCAAACAAAACAAAATGTCCATTGGGGGAAAACATATTTAATTAATTACTTTTAGATTTCTCCTTCTCCCTGCTTCCAAAAAATTTTTCTTAAATTTTGTTTTTTTTTCCTTCAGTACCAGGGATTGAACCCAGGGGGCACTTAACCACTGAGCCACATCACATCCCAGTCCTTTTTAATTTTTTAATTTTGAGACAGGGTCTCACTAAGTTGTTGAAGCTTGCCTTGGACTTGCAATCCTCCTGCTTTGGCCTGCTGAGCTCCTAGGATTATAGGATGTACCACCACACGGACTTAAGCTTTTTTTGTTGTTGAGTATTTTTTATGTATTTTTTAAAATAAAGTGGAATATACAAATTTCAGAAAACATTACCCTTTTTTTATTTTTTAAGTTTTATTTTGTTTATACTATGGAAAAATGTCTCCCTCCTAACTCTTACCTTATAACAAAACATTCCAAATTAAATGGTGCTAGATTATGTAAAATAGTTTCCAGTTATTCTGTGTAGAGAAGAACTAAATACGTTAAAAGATTAATCTTGTTGTACAAACAAACTCTGTTGTTCTTTTAAAATTTCATATGTGAATACGTTAGATTATATAATGCATTTTTGTTCCTAGTCTTATTAAATTATTTTGACTTTAGAAAAGTACTTAAGAATGATAATAATCCAGTCATCCCTTGGTATCCTTGTGGAATTCATTCCAGGACACTCACCTGTACCAAAAATCTGCAGCTAAGCAAGTCTCTTATATAGAATGACATAATATTTGCTTGTAACCCATGGACATTCTCCCATATAATTTGAATTGTCTCTAGATTACTTGCAATACCTACTACACTGAGATACTGTATAAATAGTTGAAAAGCCTGTGCATGTTCAGTACAGATGCTGTTGTTTTTCCTGAAAATTTTGACCTACTATTAGTTGAATCCATGGATATGGAGGGACCGCTGTGCATGAATTTTTATAATTTTACATTTTTTATCAATTTATATTTTTATAATTTTACATTTTTTTATCAATTTATATTTTCTTAGGGCAAAGTGAAGCTAATAACACTTGAAGTTTTATTTGTAAGGAGTACGATTTCAAAATAAAAGATAAAAGCATTGCCAGTTCATTTATGTGTTAGATAATCTGTTAATCCAAGTAGTTTATAAACTAAGTTTGATTGTGTGTGTGTATGTGTGAAATAAACCCAAGGATATAAATATTTATATTTACAGTTTTAAAGGAGAGGGAGAAAAGTTATCTTTTTAATTATTAAATATTTGCTATTTGGATATAAATATAAGAGGTGTGGTTGTAATAGAAGGAACTTGAAAAGGATAAAAAGTTGACTTTTTTTTTTATTGGTTGCTCAAAACATTACAATGATCTTGACATATCATATATCATACATTTGATTCAAATGGGGTATGAATTCTTATTTTTACCACATGTACAGATTACAGGATCACATGATTATACATCCACATTTATACATACTGCCATACTAGTGACTGTTGTATTTGACTTGGTGTAGATATCAATAGAGAAATAGAATAAGGACACAAACAAATTAGTTGAGGGACCAGATGGATCTGAATGGAATAAATATGTGGAAATGGTAGATTAATGAGAGAATGTTTATAAGTATCTTTAAAGAGTTCTAAAATGCAGACTGAAGTGCCTTCTTGTTAATATTCCATTTTGTTTACAGGCATGCATGTAGGGAATACCGGATTCACAAAGAACTGGATCATCCCAGAATAGTTAAGCTGTATGATTACTTTTCACTGGATACTGACTCGTAAGTGCTGTGCCCTTTTCTTGTAGCAGTTAATATTATTTTTTTCAAAGTCTTGAGTATTCATGAATAGAGGTTAAATCTGGACCCAGGAAATACCCTCTGATGGAAACAAATTTATTAATTTATGGGAAAATTATCATATATAAATTCAGATTTGGGTCAGATGGATATCTCTAGGCCGAAAGTTATGGACATTGTGTGATAATAAATGTTTAACAGTCAGCTTAATGGGGATAGAGACAGGCTTATTTGTAGTGTTTGCCAATTTCTGTAGTATAAATACTTCCACCATCTTCAGTTTTTAGCCACCAATTTAAAAAACAACAAAATGACTTTATTTATAATTCATATACCATAAGACTCATCCATTTAAAAAGGACACAGTTCAGTGATTTTTTTAGTATATATTCAGACTCATGCAGCCATCACCAGAGCTGTTTTTAGAACATATTCATCACCCTAGAAGAAGCCTATACCTTCACTATCATTCCTCTATTTCAAAACACACATCTCCCATCTTTCTCCCCCAGCCCTAAGCAACTGCTACTTTACATGAGTGGAATCAAATTGTAGTATGTAGTGTTTCATTCATTTTTATGGCCAAATAAAAATCTGTTATATGGATTTGCCACATTTTGCTTATCCATTTGTCCTACAAATTATTTAGTAACTGGCTCACAAAATTCCAGAAAACTTAGTAGCCATCTCTTGGTAATTGGCACAAATTAATGCCAGCATGCCACTGACATGGCCCAGAGAGGGTAGGTTAGTCAAAAATCTATACCACATCTTAGAGATTCTCATGAACCCTGCAGGCTTTGAAAGGGTATCAACAAGATGATGTTACCCTGGAACAAGATTATGGATGTGACACAAGTCTAGAGCCTAATGCTTCAAGTTGAAATGTAGTTCATAGGGGTATGGGATATTAAAATTGAAATGTATCTCAGACTCCAGTCTTCTTATTGTATAGGTATCTTTTGAGAACCAGAGAAATGATATGTCTTATACCAGGTAACAACATATAAGATTATCCAAGCCTGGTATGGATAAGTAAGTTCTAGAACTTCTGGGCTTATCAAGGAGTCAAGAAATAGTTCAGCACTTGGAAAATGTTTTCTCTGTAATTACAGAGTCAGGCCTGAGTAAGAACATACCTTAGCTCTGGCCTTCAGGTGTTCCCTCAGCCTCCTAAGGTGATCCTAGGAATTTGGTCTATTCAGCCAACAGCTATCTTAAATTGCTACACAGATAATTGTCTGACATTTAGAAATGTCCACAAAAGGCCATTTTCTCTTTGGAAACATGGCCTCTCTTCCATCTGCTCAGGGTATCATTCCCTTTTCACTGAGGAGGCCCTTTGCACCAGGCATAGCCGTTTGTTTTGAATGGAGTAGGATTCAGAAAAATAACCTGGTTAAAAGGGCAGGAGTGGGAAACCTGGCTCCACAGGATGGCATGACTGTTTTGCTTTGAGTAGATTCCTTGAATAACAGGTAGAGCCCCCTCCCCCTTTCTAAAATGTAAGTAGTAAGACTATTTCAAAAATAAATATAATGGCTTGGATTACCTGCTGTTCTGAATTATATGTTCACTTTTAATGTGATAAGTTGATTCCATACTATTCTCGAGTTGTTTTTTTCTTTCTTCCTGTTGTGTATGATGAAATTTCTCCAAAAAAAAAAAAAAGACCATTGTTTTAGAATGTCTCCTGAGAATTGTTTAGGTACTAAAAGAGAAATTTTATTTCTAGCTTACATTTGTGTCAAAGAATCAGTTCACTGAGCATGAAAATCTGTTTCAGATTTTAGCATCTATATAAATCATATATTTATTTTCAAAAGAGTGATAGCATGCCCTGCTATGTTTCATAAGACGTATAAGCTATAAGCTATTGCTCAGGTTTTAGATTCCATAAGGCCATGAATGTTTGCAGTCAGTTGCAGTGCTTTTTCAAAGTCTCCAGTTGCCCAGAACTCACATTCCTGAGCCTGTGTGCTTTTACTTCTGTTCCTCACCCTTCCCTGCTCTGCATCTAGGGGGGTTGCCTCTTTTTTGTAGGCTGTGCTTACCAAGCTCATACATTAGTTGATGTCCAGCAGATAGGGAGGCAGAGATGCAGGGGATGTGTCTCTTCCCCAAAACCTCACTCCACAGTTCCAGTTTCCCCTGATGATCCTGGGTTCTGATTGAACCATCTCCTCCCTCTGACCCTTTCGCCTTAGTGTACTAATGGCTCTCTGCTGTAGTTGATCTCTGGGGCTCCTCACTGGTCAGTGTGTTCGCTTAACTCTTCCATCGCCTTTGTGATCAGTTTTTTTCTCCTTAAGTGTGGGGTGTTTGTTTGTTTGCAGTATTGGGGATCAAACCCAGGGCCTTGTACTTGATAGATAAAAACACTCTGCCACTGAGCTACATCCCCAGCCTGTACTAAAGTATTTTTTGTTTCCTGGCTAGACACTGACTAATAGATCCAACATTGTAACAAGTTAGAATAGTTCAAAAGGTACTCATCTCTCAGAGATATTCAAATAGTTCAAAAACCTTACTTCAGCTTATAACACCTGGGAAGATAGATACCTGACTTACAATGCCACTAATGATATGTAGTCTTAAATGTGGGTCTTAAATGTGTACAGATGTGTTGACATAAAACAAGAAAAAATAGACCCGATACCATGTAATAACACATTTATGTAGCATTATGCCAAACTGCTAGGATACATAATATGTGCCCAATTTTTGGGACCTGGGCAAATTCTAGATTCTTCCTCATAGTTAGCACTCAGGGTTATATAAAATGTTTGCAGTGAGAATTGTGTACTTGATCACAGCATGGCTGTTTAGAAATGTGTGCATGATGAGTATGTGAAGGAGACCCTCACAAGATGTCCAGCTCACATATCTTATAGTTCTTCTCAGTGTTTTTCAAGTCTGGGATCCAAAAGAACTGTTCCATTGTGACTCTCAGTACAGTTAATGCCAACAGGGAGGGCATGAGGCTCTTCTCCAAGAGAGCGAGTACTTTTCTTCCATGAACTGCTCCGGTAGCAGATACTGAGTAAAGAATAGAAGAGTGTTTTAAGAAACAGAAAAAGGAGAAGAGAAGCTAATGACCTAAAGTTTTCTCTGGGACTGGTTTAGATCATCTTAATTGGCTTGTTCTTATTCCATGGCTAAATGTTGGTTTATTTGTCTTTAGGTTTTGTACAGTGTTAGAGTACTGTGAGGGAAATGATCTGGACTTCTACCTGAAACAGCACAAATTAATGTCAGAGAAAGAGGCCCGATCCATTATCATGCGAATTGTGAATGCTTTAAAGTACCTAAATGAAATAAAACCTCCCATCATACACTATGACCTCAAACCAGGTATGTCTAACTTTTAGGAGACAGTATTGGTGACTTTTCAGTCTTCCAATTGACCTTTACTTTTTTTAAAATATTTTTTTAGTTGCGGATAAGCAAGATTTGAGAAAGAACTGTTCTGACAAGTTAGTTTTGCTTTTTCTCTCATCACTCACACTACGTAGTGGTTCCTCTGCTCCAAGTCTTATTTTGATAAGTGCCTCCAAAATGACTTATTTTGCACATGTGCCTTCCATTTCATTAAATTTTGAGAATTTTTCACCTTTTCGTAGATTATCACATAATTTTGATAGTCATCAACAAAGAATATAGGACACATAGGCTTCTTAACTCTCTCTTTTTTTGTACTGGGATTAAATCTAAGGGTTGCTTAACCATTGAGCCACATTTTCCCAGCCCTTTTCACCATTTATTTATTCGTTTGTTTATTTGTTTGTTTGTTTATTGTGTGCCAGGGATTGAACTCAGGGGCACTCCACCGCTGAACTGCATCCCCAGCCCTATTTTTGTATTTTATTTAGAGACAGGGTCTCACTGAATTAGTTGCTTAGCGCCTCGCTAAATTGCTGAGGCTGGCTTTGAACTTGCGATCCTCTTAAGCCGCTGAGATTACAGGTGTGCACCACTATACCCAGTTGTTTTTATATTTTATTTTGAGACAGGGTCTCACTAAGTTGCTTAAGGCCTTGCTAAGTTGCTGAGGCTGGCTTTGAACTTTGAATCTGCCTATCTTAACCTTCTGAGCTGCTGGGGTTGTATGAGTGCAGCACTGCACCCAGCTTTATCTCTATTTTTTTTTGTTATCTTCAGCTATTTCTTAAGAATCTACATGTGTTCCATGTAGACAGCTCTAACCAATTCAGTTGGGAGCATTAAGAAGATGGTTCCCATTTACCTCCCAGTGTGGAAAAATGATTAATATTGTTTTACTCTTCTGATAGGTACACATTAAATCTCACTATTTACTATTTTTTTAATGTGCTAAAAAGAGTCAGGTGACTTAAAAATTAATTATAATAAAATGATTTTTAAAAACAACGGCTACTCTGTGACTAGGTTTTCCATCTATGAATTCAGTGCACTTTACTGCCATATGACCTGTAGGTGGTGCTGTGATGTTAGCTACCATTCCTATGTATATATTTTTTTAACACACGCACACACCCATTCTAAACAGGGTAGAGATTTCACTAAAGTTCAAATGAAGTTTTCCCATCATTATGACCAACTGTACAAGTGATATTTTACTTTGGCAACTTATTTCTGTTTCCAGTGCTCATAGTAGTAATTTTGGCACATTAAGCAGATAATTCTTGGGAAACAGAACTTTTCAGTAGACATCAAGGATTCTCCTGTAGCATCGAGAGTTAGATAGCTTTATTCTGAAGATTTATATGGTTGCAAGAATTTGAGTCCAGTTCTTCTCTTTTTGTCTGTTATTACTTTGGATTTTTCTCTTAAGTCTCTGCTTATTCATGAAGATTTTTATCTTTTTAGGTAATATTCTTTTAGTAAATGGTACAGCATGTGGAGAGATAAAAATTACAGATTTTGGTCTTTCCAAGATCATGGATGACGATAGCTACAATTCAGTGGATGGCATGGAGCTAACGTCACAAGGTGCTGGTACTTATTGGTAGGTATTCAGGAGGCCTGGCAAGTTGGCTGGTGGAAATGTGTCTCTGCCATACAGAAGCCTTGGTAATTAACAATTTCCATATACTGTGTACTAAGGCAGAAATAATGTAACTGTCTTTTCAGCAGTTTGACCTTTTATATTAATTGTCTTACTTTTTCTTTCCTCTCTTGAAAACCCTTGAGAGCTTATGTGTGGCCAGGTCTTAGAGATGTATGTTTTCTCCACAGGGCTGACCTTACAAGTCAGTAGAGAGTGAGGTTGTTCATGTGGTATATAAAAAGAATGGGTCCAAATTATTTTCGGTACAAATGGAGGTCTCTCTCTTCATGGGTTAATGGGATGAGGGATTTGTTTCTAGAGTTACCTGAGGATGATGGACTATCAAGAATTAAGGAGTTGTGAAGATCAGGATGGAAAAAAACCACAGCATCCCATGAAATCTATACAGGAACAAGTGAACACAGTTTACCAGAAGTTTATCCATATCTGTTAACCATGTTCTACAAAGTTGTGAGACACATTTCTTCTCACCATTTACTGTCACCTGTCTTTCCCCAATTACCCTACTTCAGCTAGTTTTGCTATAACCTCTTCTATTCCTGCCTACTATTACTTTTTCCCCTTGCTATTACCTGTGGCCGAGGCATTTAACTTTGTAATTGTAAAAGTATGTTAACAAACCTTTCCTTTCCCTTCAAGGTGGTTATACAAAGCCATATATTGGCATCTGTGATTTTGAACCTGGAAGGGCCCCTTAGCACTAAGGAAGGCGTAACATGCTCTTGTATCCCTTCGTCAGGGGTCACTTATATTTGGGACTAGAGGCAGTAGGCCTTAGCAGAATACTGACTAGGAGTGAAAGGCTTGACAAGGAAGCAGACAGGGATGAGGGCCATGCCATTCACTATGCACAGAGTGAGGCTGTTAATACCCAGTGCACCACACAGTACTCTCCATTGCTCCTTGTGCTTGTGGAAATGGTGCTTATAGTAAAGAGTCAGTCTCTAAATTAAAACTCTGAAATTTGAGGTTTAAAATAGAAGCTGCACTTACAATGTTTATTCAATATGATAATTATTGGGGGTTAGTGTCCCTGTCACTAACTGGGGATGCAAAAATATCTATTGTTGGAAATTCCGGAAAGAGTTTTATACTTCAAGTATATAAATTTGCTGGAACTTAGATTTGGGCTTTATGTTTGACAGCTCATTCTTTTTAAAAGGTGCATTTTTTTTTTCGTGTTTAAAATAGTGATCTTATTCCTACATAATGCTCTATTTACTTAGTTATAAAAAAAATTTAGCAATTGGAATTTAAATAAATATCATATGAAGGCCAGGGGATGTAGCTCAGTGGCAGAGGGTTTAACATCACATGCATGAGGCCCTGGGTTCAATCCCCAATACCACCCCCCAAAAAAAGAAAAGTTTTGCTTCAAAGTTATCTGTTATATGGGGGTTCATGGGAAAGGGTGTGTATGAACAAAGATTGGCCACATGGTGATGCTTATTAAAGCTGGAGAATGGTTATTTTGAGGTTTATTTTACTGTTCTTTTTTTTTTTTTAATACTTCTGTTTTATTTATTTACTTTTATGTGGTGCTGAGGATCGAACCCAGGGCCTCACACGTGTTAGGCGAGCACTGTATCATTGAGCCACAACCCCAGCCCTACTGTTCTTTTTACTTTAGATTATGTTTGAAGATTTTCATAATGCATATAAGAAAGGGGGCTTCTGAAAAAATTAAATTTTATAGATTTTTCTGAAGGTTTGAGTCTCTGTGTTAGTGAAAATATTATCATAATCACCATCCCTCCATGTCATCCTCTTAACATGACCCAGAGAGCTACAAATATACTGGAAGGATATAATATTCTGAGTGACTATTTGCAGTTTTTAGTTGTTCCAGAATTCTTCTACATTGACTACTTCTTTAAAATAGTGAATCATAGACTATGCCGTGAACATCATTTCTCTGTAAGAGAATTTTTATTGTGATAGAAATACAGCTGTATGTGTGTATTTTAACACAGTTTAGTGTAGCATTATAGAACGGTCTTTAGTTTTCCTCCCAAACTCCTTGACAGGAAATGAGAATCTTTATTTTCAGTATTATTTGGGTAAAGAACTAGTTTGTTTCTTCATTTATAGATGGAGAAACTGAGACCTAAAAAATGATTTACCAGACTTGTACTGTCAAGTACGAGTGTCATTTATATTCTGAAAATCTAGCCAAATTATTGTGCTGTCTTTGGATAAGCTTACCAACCCCTGATCTTCCCTACCACCTCTACCAAAAGTTAAAAACACATTAAATTGATCATTTTAGAATCAAGCTTATGTTTTTCCTTTATCCAAGATCATATTTAAGTTTTGTATATTAAAGAATCAAGACTGTGAAAGCTTGGATCTGGGGAGTTTTTTGTGACAGTTGGAAGACCTGGGTTTTTAAATTTTTTTTTCCCTGTATTTTTTATTTCTTTGATTTTTTTTTTCTTCTTTAAGTTCTGGATGGATCAATATTTCATTTTTCAGTGTGGGTTTTGGTGTTTTTTTGGGGGGGGACTTTACTTCATAGGTATGTTATTAATGCCATAAATTGGAAACTGTTTCTGTTTTGTTGTGATGCATGTCTGTGTTGCCCAGGCTGGTCTCAAATTCCCAAGCTCAAACCATCCTCCTGCCTCAGCTCCCCAACCCCCTAACCCCCCCCCCCCCAAAAAAAAGCCTGGAACTACAGAAGCACCTCATTGTGCCCAGCTGGTTATTTATTTGGTTTTGTTTTTTGTGGTGCCCCAGGGCCTCCTGTATGCTAAGCATGCACTCTATTACTGGGCTACACCCCCAGGCCTCAGCACATTTTGGCTAAAAGTTTTCATTGTGAAATATCATCTAGTCAAAGGCCCTAATCGTTCAAAAATATTTTGTTAAGAAAAATAAGATAAGTGAACAAACTTCTTTTAAAGAAAAAAAAATGCTGTGTACAGCAGCACAAGTCTATATTCCCAGCTGCTCACGAGGTTGAGGCAGGAGAATTGCTTGATACCAGTAGTTCAAGTACAAGTTGAACTACCTCACAAAACAAATGAACAGACAGACAAAAAAGAAAAGAGAGAAAGCCTTTCATTTGAACTAAACTTAACAAAGATGGAAAATAGGAGAAGGAACATCTACCTCTCGCCTTTTATGGTCCCCTTAAGCTCTAAGTTTAGATTTTTATCCCAGGTGTACAGTGAGGGTCCAAAATAAGAGTTTTTCATAGAATGGGTTTTGCCAGCACAAAATCAACAGAAATTGATCTGTTTTCTTCAGAATTTTACCTTCTAGTTGTGCCAAAGCTAAGACTCCAGGTGTATTTGTTTGGTTTCCTGAATGCCCAGAAGCACTTAACTTTCCATACCTTACAATTTGGTGTAGTCAGCTGTCCTCTGTTTCTTTAGAGACCATTGGTGGGGAGGGAAGGAATTTAGGTGAGAAACAGGTTGTGCTAACAAGTTTGTTTGGCTTTTGCTGCACTATTTGCCAGTAAACCCCAATCCTCCTTAAAGTAGGAAATATAAAATCTTTTGATAATTTGAACTTTAATATCTTTTGATTTATTTATTTATTTTGTTGTTAATGGACATTTATTTATTTGCAGTGCTGAGAATCAAATCCAGTGCCTCACACATGCTAGGCAAGTGCTCCACCACTGAGCTACAACCCCAGCTCTATTTTTGCTTTTGTTTTGAAACTGCTGGTAGTATAATGGATTGAACCTAGGACCTTATTCATACAATGCAAGAGCTGTAAATAGGAGCAGTGGTCTAGCCCTTTTTTATTATATTTTGAGACAGGGTCTTGCTAAGTTGCCCCATCTGGCCTCGAAATTGTGATTCTCCTGCCTCAACCTCCCAAGGAGGTGGCATGCGCCTTCACACCAACTTACCCTTGATTTTTTATGTTAGAGTTAATTCTAGTCAACATTTCACAAAAAGGCTACCTTAAGAAGGCAGAATAGAGCCAGGTGCAGTGGCACATGCCTGTAATCCCAGTGACTTCGGAGGCTGAGGCAGGAGGATCATAAGTTCAAAGCCATCCTCAGCAACTAAGTGAGGCCCTAAACAAATCAGTGAGACTCTGTCTTTAAATAAAAAGTAAAAAGGGCTGGAAATGTGGCTTAGTGGCTAAGCACCCCAGGGTTCAATCTCTGGTTCCACCAAAAAAAAAAAAAAAAAGGACAGACTACCCGCTCCATACCCCACAGAGCTCTATAATGAGACCTGAATTAACTTGACTTTTAAAACCATCTGTTAATTTTTCAGGGCATGGTGGCACACCATGTGGACACTTGTTAGTCCCAGCAATTTGGGAAACTGAAACTGGAAGACCATAAGTTCAAGGCCAGTCTGGACAACTGAGTGAGATCCTCATCAACTAAGTGTGACCCTATTTCAAAATTAAAAAATAAGCTGGGGATATAGCTCAGTGGTAAAGCACCCCTGGGTTCAGTCCCCAGTACAAAAAAAAACAAAAAACCCGCACTAATTTTTAAGGACTGGCAGTAATCTTAGTGGAAGCCATGGTTTTAATCCCCAGTATTAAAAAAAAAAAAAGCAAAAACCATTTATTGATGTTAGAGACATCTTTAGTCAATGAAAGAAAACCATTTCTAGTTATATTTTAATGTTTGTTGATAAAGTGATTGTAAAAGGAAAGTCTTTTCTTTTGTCCCCACCCCATTAAAAAATCTGTTGGGGCTGGGGTTGAAGCTCAGTGGTGTAGAGCTTGTCTAGCATGTGAGAGGCAGTGGGTTTGATTCTTAGCACCACATATAAATAAATAAAATAAAAGTCTATCAACAACTTAAAAAAAAAAAAAAACCTGTGAGGATTAAATAAAGGTTTATGTAGCCCAGTGGTGGAGTGCTTGCCTAGCATGGGCAAGACCCTGGGTTCACTCCCTAGTACCACAAAAACAACAACAACAACAACAAAAAAAGGATGTTGAATGACACTTGGATTAGGCATAGCTCCAGGAAAGGAGACTGCAGACTAGGGAGAATATTTTCCTCTTTCTGTAAAAAGAGAAATGTATTTTAATGCCTATATGGGCATTGCCACCTTCCTAAATCTTTTCATTGACTCTCATACTTTTCTAAGTTGATTTTAAATCCAGATATTGCAATTATCAATAAGACCTTTTATTTTGCCTTTTTATAGTTGTCTTAGATTTATATATTTATTTTCTAAGAATTTTTATTTCTCTTTTCTCCCAGGTATTTACCGCCAGAGTGTTTTGTGGTTGGGAAGGAACCACCAAAGATTTCAAATAAAGTTGATGTCTGGTCAGTGGGTGTGATCTTCTACCAGTGTCTATATGGAAGAAAGGTAAGGAAGAAGGGTGAGATAGCAGCTTGACTTGCTTCCTGGGTGGCATATATACATTGTACCTTGGTGTGGATTTGCTCTTGGAGTTAATCATTGGGTTATACTAAATGGAATCTCAAAATAACGGTTCAAAGAAAATACAGACTTACTAATAAAAGCTTTATGCATAAGCACAAATTCTCAAGTACAGGGTATCTAATGAATTCTGCTGGGCCATTGAAAACATGCAGTTTTGCTGTTCTCAATTAGATCCAGAACATGTTTTGATTCTCATAATATGTGAAGGGGTTTAACATGAAGTAGTTTATAGTGAATAGTCAAGATCATTCTCAAGGGGCCTAAGAACTAAGATTCAGAAAATCCCTAGACTTTATTTTTAATGTTAATGAAAGTGTGCTTTACATTTTACACTAGGGAGGTGGTGTCAGAAAGTATCCCTTGCCTCTTGTCTCTGATTGAGGTAATGTTATTTAAACAAATAATAACCCAGATAGTAAACTACATCTAATGAATTTTCACATTTGTTTTTCCCTTGTAAGTTTAACTTATAAAGGGATCCAGTTATGTATATATATTCCTATTTTAATCTTCAGTTTTGTGTGTCTCAGTGATTCCATTAGGCTATGGGTGTAAGCCAGATGGGAGCCCTGAAATACCTGTAAAATCTTAACATTTTGATTAGACTCCCCATACCAAGCTCTTAATCAGATGACTCCTTCCCATTTAACTTTTCCTTGGTCTTTCTCTTACCTCTCCGAATCATGGAGACTATTCAGGGAAACTAGTAGGGTTTAATTATTATTTATACTCTCTGATAATGTTGAATTGGCTGTTGATGGTAGTGGTATAGGTCATCTAGAAAGAATCGTTTAAGGTCTTTTGGTAGAAAGATGGTAGAGATGACAGTAAGCTTGAACTTATTTAAAGAGTTTATCAGGAAATGTCAATTTGGGGACAGATACCAGCACTAAGTGGCCCCAGTCCTTTTTTGTTCCCACTCTCTCCTTAGCACTTCTACTCTTTTACTTCCTTTTTTATACTTTTTTCTCTGCATCTTAGGTTAGCCAGTGGTAGGCACATGTGTGCAGTGCTTAGGCCCACAGGTGTCATTCAGAGTACAACAGGTTGCTGGTTCCTGCTCTGTATCTTCCCCTTTTTTATTGTGAACAAAGCTTGAGATAGGAAATGCTGCTGCTGGTTCCTGCTCTGCCTTGTTTGACCCAATCCTTAAGCTGTGAGCCCTTTCCTCTTATCTGTGAAAGGAGCAAAATGGAAAAAATCATCTCCAGAATCCCTTCCAGCCATGGTAGGGGAAATGTCTTCCCCTCTCTCTTCCCTGTGGTACTGAATTGTATTCTCTTTAATTTTAATCAGAGACCTACCCTTATTTGCTTGTTTGTGTTGTTTTTCATATGACAGCCCTTTGGCCATAACCAGTCCCAGCAAGACATTCTACAGGAGAATACTATTCTTAAAGCTACTGAAGTGCAGTTCCCACCAAAGCCAGTAGTAACACCTGAAGCAAAGGTAAGTTTAATCCATCAGCTAACAGAAGTGACTGCTTTGCTTTCTTTTATTTCTTTGGGTAGTAGTGGATATGTAATTATTTGATTTGAAAATCAGTTATTAAAAACATTAGGAAAGGCATGAGTTAAATATTCCTAAAAATAAGAGAAGAATATTGCTTATACTCTGCCCATCTCATCTCTAAGTCCAGTGAAAGGAATGTTGGTAGGTGGGTTTTTAATCCACAAAGGCTCCCTAGAGTCAGGGCAGAGAAAGGAGAGCAATTCGATGGTGATGTACCAGGCTTTGAGGGCAATAGAAAGGATTCCCAGCCTCATTCCTATTTAAGGACTATCAATTTTGGGAGTTAAGTCCCATGTGGGAAAAATGATATGAGTACTAAGGCATTGGGGTTAAACAGCAGTGAGTAGTAAACAGTAAAGTCTATACCAGTTGGTGAACGTGTATCTAAACCTTCACGGTGGCCAAGGAAACATGGAATGGAGGTGGTGAAAGAAAATTAAAATAATCAGTCTTGCAAACCAAGATTTCATTAGCTGTTCATATACTTGATCTCTTCTTATGTATTATCCAAAGCTACTTAAGGTCAGTGGTGGTCAGCTCTGTTGGATGCCATGGTCATTCAGAACTTTAAAGTCAAAGCAAATAGTATAAGTCTAATTCTTTTGTACGAATGTTTGTCTTGCTGTTTCCTCATGGCACACCTATGTGAAGTAGATTAGAAAGGAGTCTCTTTTCTAAGTGTTCTAGCTGATGTATTATATCAGCTTTTCCATGTATTACATGGAAAGAGGGAATATCTTTAGCAGTTGTTTATAATTCCTGACAGGATGACTTCTTGCCCCCATCATTTGGGCTTAAACACTCCATAACCAGTAAATTAAATCTGCAAGGGAGTGCTGTGTGTAGTGATGTACACCTGTAATCCCAGTGGCTCTGGAGGCTGAGGCAGAAGGATAGGAAAAAAAAAAATTTAAAAACTGGGGATGTAGCTCATTGGTAAAGTGCCTCTGGAGTCGATCCCCAGTGTGCTCCCTTCCCCCCCCCCCCCCCCCCCCCCCCCAAAAAAAAAAAAATCTGCAAGGAAGGAGTTCCATAACATTGCTAAGGCACATGCAGGGTTTCTAACTCCTGGGAGAGGACTAGAGAGACCTTCAGTGGTGAAGCCTGCCCTAATTTTGATGTCAGCACTGGACTCAACAGCTATATGACTTTGGGCTAGTTTACTTAAACTTTCTGAGTTGTTTTGCTTTACCCATGAAACAGAAATGCTTTCAGGTAATTGTGAGGTTCAAAAGGACTGAATCACTTGCCATTCAGTACCTTCTGCAGTTGCTCTTAGTTAATGACCATGCCCCATCTGCTATCTAGGGTAACACTGAGGAACAGGTTGCCTAAAAGATGTTTAATTTTCATCTGTCAGATCTCTGAAGACCCATTTCTTCATTTTGACCATTTTGTCAAATTTTAGTATTCATTCAATAAATAGATGAACAAATGTTCTTGACTTTAGAGTAAATTGAATGGACCTGCTATAAAGAATACGGAAATATCTGAGTTTTTCCGCTAATTGCCTCCTATCTGGCCTCTTCCTCCTTCTACATAAGTATTTCTCCAACCCCTACCCTCTTTTCTCCCTCTCCTCCCACAGCAAATATTTATTGAGTGCCTATTAGTCATTGGACAGTGTTGTAGGTAGTGGAGATGGAATTGTGAAAATGTGGCAATAAACTATACAGATGAGTTTCCTGTCCTTAAGAAATTTATATTCCAATAGGAGAGACAATAAAACGTAATTGGATGCATATTAGATGGTTATAAATGTTATAAAGAAAATAAATTAGAGTAATCGGTAGGGGAGAGGGTTCGCTAGGGAGGTGGGAACCCCTTTTTTGATGGCATGGATGGGGATGGCCTCGATGATGAATGGACATTTCAGGCAGTGTCTTGAGCCATTGATGTGAAGATGGGAGCCATGTGTAGATCTGTGGGGGAAGCATTCTTGAGAGAAGCAAGCACAGCTCACGTATGAGAATGAGCTCACAGGTCCACCACTTATGCAGAACAGAGGAGAGAATGGTAGAAAGGCTCTGGGCCATTGTGAAACATGGTGGAAGGAGGCGAGGGGTGTAATTAGGACAACTGTGTGATCCAGTTGCAGTTTTAAGAGCATACACTGGCAGCTATGTAGAAAGAAAATTAAAGATAGAAGAAGTAGGGCTGGGGATGTGGTGTGGCTCAGTTGTTGAACTCAGGATGAGTGCCTCTGAGTTCAGTCCCATAAATAAATAAATAAATAACATTTATTTAAAAAAGAAGTAGTACTAGTAGTAGTAGTAGTAGTAGTAGTAGTTGTTGTTTATTTTGCCAGTGTCTGACCCAACCCTGTTAAACTTTTTGCATGTGTGTATGTGTGGCAGGAGTGTGTACTGGGCACTGAACCCAGGGGTTCTCTACTACTAAGCAACATGCCCAGCCCTTTTCATTTTGAATCAGGGTCTCATTAAATTGCTGAGGCTAGCCTGGAATTTGTGGTCTTCTCTTCTTGCCTCAGCTTCCCACGTAAACTGGGATTATAACTGTGTGCTACTGCATCCAGCAGAAAGGTTCTCTTTAAAAGACCAAGTGTTGTTATATTCATTTCTGTGAATTTGTTTTTATCTTCCAAATCTTCAATCAAGTAAGTAAGTATCTTTGATTTTTTGAAAGCCCAAATTTGGCATTGTGTGATTTTTGTTTTTCTTGGGTTTTTTTGGGGGGCGGGTTGGTACTGTGGATAGAACCCAGGGATGCTTTACCATTGCACTACATCCCCAGGCTGCCCTCTATGTTTCTTTTTTTTTGAGACAGGGTCTTGCTAAGTCACTAAGGCTGGCCTCCAACTTTTGATCCTCCTGCCTCAGCCTCTGGGTTGCTACAATTACAGGTCTGCACCACTGCACCTGGTGGCATTGTACTTTTGTTAATTAAACTTGGAAAAAATAGAAAATCATTTATTTTGCATTACACATTTTGTTGTAAATAAACTTAGGTTTTTTGGGCAGTGTTAGGTTCCCAGCAGAATTGAGCAGAAAATACATAGTACACATATACTACCTGCCCCTCCCCTAGAACCTCCCATATCAACATCAGACATCAGAGTAGTACATTTGTTATTATTGGTGACCCTACATTGGCACATCATTTTCACCCTACTGTAAAGTATAGGCTTTTGGTGATAATGATGCTTTAGACTTTTCAAAATGATTCATTTATTTAAAATAGTTGCATTATAAAACTGAGTAAATAGAACTGTCTAGTTGAATAATAGGAAGAAAGCAAGAGGAAAATAATGGTATATAGGTCAATGATAAGAATTATAGAAGTAAGACTACATAGCCTTTCATACCTAGTAGAAAGAAAACCACCATGTTGGTAATAAATTCGAATTCCTTGTCAAACTCCCTCACTGTTTTTGTGTCTGTAGTACCTTTGGAGATATAGTCCTATTCAGTTTTCCCTATAATGCTTAGATAGTGCCTCATCATTTGCTTAATGACCTTTCACGGGAAGATAGGGTATGTCGGGAAAGCATTTCAGAGCCACTGGGCATGTTGCTCGGTAGTAGAAAACCCCTAGGTTCAGTGCCCAGTACACTCCAGCTGCACATGCACATATTGTGTTGTCAATCATTGTCAATCTCTTTTCACTGCATTGGTGGTAGTATAAGCTTAGAATTTCCACTTCCTTGGAAATTCACATGAGACTGTGGTTTGTTGATGCAAGACTGTGAAGTTAGACTTTTCCCGTCCAAACCAACACTTTTTGGTTGGTCTAGTGCTTTACAGGCAGGAGTACTTATAGAGGCCCTTCTGTAGCGGGAGGGAGTGGAGAATATTGCAATAGAGGGGTGCCCTTTCCTTATCTTCCCTGGGTCTGCCTGATGGCTTCCAGGAAAGGCCTTAAGCCCCTTCTCTTTATGAGATGTCTGCTTCGGGCCCTGGCAGGAGATCCAGAGCCTCTAGTTCCCTCCGGGGTGCTGGGATTGTCTGCTACAACCTTCTACAAGAAACTTTCCTTTGCAGGCTTTTATCCGGCGATGCTTGGCCTACCGAAAGGAGGACCGCATCGATGTTCAGCAGCTGGCCTGTGACCCCTACTTGCTGCCTCATATCCGAAAGTCGGTCTCCACAAGTAGCCCTGCTGGAGCTGCTATTGCATCAACCTCTGGGGCGTCCAATAACAGTTCTTCAAATTGAGACCGACTCCAATGCCACAAACTGTTAACACACAGAGTGGACAAACAGCATTCAGCAGCGGGTTTGGAACTTAGCGAATCCGAATGGATCTCATGAAACCTGTACCAGGTGCTTTTATTTTCTTGCTTTTTTCCCATCCATAGAGCATGACAGCATCGATTCTCATTGAGGAGAAACCTTGGGCAGCTCTGGCCAGGCCTCATAGGAAAAGGCCCCGCCCAAGGTTCTGGCGTCAACGGCCACTGTGTGTGGCTGCTCTGAGTGAGGAAAAAATTAAAAAGAAAAACTGGTTCCATGTACTGTGAACTTGAAAATATGCAGACTCAGGGGGGTCCCTGATGCAATGCTTCAGATGAAGAATGTGGACTTGAAAATACAGACTGGGCTAGTCCAGTGTCTATATTTAAACTTGTTCTTTTCTTTTAATAAAGTTTAGGTAACATCTCCTGAAAAGCTTGTAGCACAAAGGCTCAGCTGGGGATGGTGTTTGACTTCGGAGGAAAAAAGTTGCTATTGCCCGTTAAAGGCACTAGAGTTAGTGTTTTATCCCTAAATAATTTCAATTTTTAAAAAACATGCAGCTTCCCTCCCCCTTTTTTATTTTTGAAAGGATACATTTGGTCATAAAGTGAAACCCGTATTAGCAAGTACGTGGCAATGTTCATTCCAGTCAGATGCAGCTTTCTCTTCCGTCTGGTCTCCTGCTTGCAATTGCTTCTCTCGTCTCAGTTGGGAAAGAAGGGAGTGGGAGTACTGAGATGCGCGGGTTTTTGCCATTGGACAAAGAATGAGGTTAGAAGACTGCAGCTTGGAGTCTCTAGGTTTTCAACTATTTCTTCACAATTTGAACACTTGACGGTTGTCCCTTTTAATTTATTTGAAGTGCTATTTTTTTAAATAAAGGTTCATCTGTCCATGCAGTCCTCCTGGATTCTCTGAATGTAGTAACTATCGAAACTGTTCCAAAGGTAGGCAGAAAACAGGCTGGAAAGCCAAAAACTCAAGGGATCAGTAGTTGCTACCCACAGTCTTTGTGTGCTTGCTAAATGGTGTACATTTCTTGTTACCACATTATTAAAACTTGATCGGCACATAAGCTTTCTTCTGTTAGATCTTTTGGCAGGAAACAACCTTCTCCCAGTATTCTAAATTTGGTGGGTGTGTGCTGGTGTGTGTGTCTATGTGTGCATGTACACACACACTTTGTCTAACTCACTTTAATAGATATATTAAGTGAAATTTTTTTTAAAAAATCAGCTCAAGGAAAATAGGTATTTCAACTATGAATGTTCTTTTGGAACTAATTTTTAAAAACATTTGGTTGATTCTGAGACATGTGATTAACTGAAGATGGAGCTGAAATGGGAGACATGTGGCCCCACAGTGCCCTTGAAACAGAAGAGCCCTCGGCAGGAGAGGGAAGGAGTCCAGAGCCTGAACATGTGGTAGCCAGCTTGGAATGTTACTGACAGATGTGGCAAGAGGGCTCAGCCAGAAGTATTTAAAGACGTAGCATTCAGGCCTGCTTGTTTTCTGGGCAGGAAGGGAGTCAGGAAGGGCAGAGCTCTCAAATTGCTCATGATTCTAGAGTTTCTTTTACACGTGAAAAATGTCACTGATGACATGTTTTCTAGGACTGTTGTCTGTTTTGTGGACCTGCCCCACTTTCCTCAGTATCAAGCCATCTTAAGAGAAGGTGGAACATTCCAAACTGAATGGGTAGGTGTTATATGGAACGCAGAAGGAAAGAAGTCATCCCCAGAGGCCTTGGTGTTCCCTCAGCTTTTTAAAAACTATTTTATTGAAATAAAATGTTGATATTTATACACACATGCCTGTGTGTGCTTTTCTCTTTGATTTTCTTTTGTGCCACTGAGCCCTGCCCTTTTTTTTTTTTTTTTTTTTTTTTTTAACCACTGCCTTCAAGCTGCTAAGCAGAGAGCAGCAGGTTGATTGAACAGAGTGGTCTTCACATATGAAGAGATGAAGAGACAAATGAAGTTGAGACCATATTAAACCAACTAAAAACAGTTTAGTTCTGTGCTTTTTCCCCTTTCCTCTTTATAGTGATCTTGCAGTTTTATTTTTGTTTGTTTGTTTGTTTTTGGTACCAGGGGCACTTAACCACTGAGCCATATCTCCAGCCCTTTTTAGTATTTTATTTAGAGACAGGTTCTTGCTGAGTTGCTTAGGGCCTCACGAAATTGCCAAGGCTGATCTTGAACTCACGATCCTCCTGAGCCTCTGGGATTACAGGTATGCACCACTGTGCCTGGCTGCAATTTAGTTTTTCAATTTTTAAAGTTAAAATAAAAAGTTCATCTTTATGCCTTTTCTCTAATTTCTTGTCTCCTTTTATTTCATGGGCTGATCAGTGAAGCTCAGCATTCTGAAGAAGGCACCATCTCCCCTTGCTTTGACTGGGTGTAGGGCCTAGTTGGGCTTTGCCAAGTCAGAGCAAGACATCTTTTCCACTGTGTGGGCCAGCCCCGAAGAGCACACAGAGCACTTACCTTTCCTGGTCTTGGAAGGAGCCAGTGAAATCACTAAGTGGGGTTCTCCATGACAGACTTTGTTGCAGTGGGTTTCACCTTCTCTGAGGATAACCCCTATTCCCACAATGTTGATTCACTTTACACGGTGATACAAAAATGTTTATTAATTTGTAATTAAACCCAACTAGACTGTTTTGGCCTTTCCCAGTTGGGGGTAAGGAGAGGAAGGATATTAAAGTTTTAAGGAGAAAATTTCCTAGCCTCTTGATTTTCCTCTATTTCTCCAACTTCCAAACAAAGCCCTTACCATCAAGGGTGTTAGATGAGGGGTTCCTGGCAGGCAGCAGAGCAGAGCCCCTTGGACATTGTAGGCACAGTGGGAATGTATTGATTCATGTGACACATTTTGTGCCTCCAATGTACTAAGAACTAGGCTTGTATGGTGGGATCCAGCAGTGAACAGGATAGGGATGGGCCAGCTAGTGGCTCAGATCCAGGAGTGGGCACCCAGGCCTACCCAGGAAGAGATGAAGTGTGGGAGAACGAGGGGAGGAATTTGGGCCCTTCCATTGGGGGATGGACAGCATTGAGAGGGGAATCCCCAGAAGAGCTGCATGCACCCCACTTCTGTGGCTGTCCTGGCATACCAGCTGTCTTTTGGAGGTGTGTCCCCCTCCTGCTGTCTAGTCTTTCTTCCAGCTAAGATTAGCCATGAAGGAGCTCTTACATTTCTTAACTGAGAAAATAGCGCTCTTTAAACATAGTTATCTCTTAGAATCCTAGAGCTAGAAGCAAGCATTGACTTCTTCCAAGAAGGCAAAGTTTACAACTAGCTGGGCCCATCTTAGTGTTTTCTTTCTGAGCATCTTTCCTGCCCTCCCTTACTTCATCACTCACATTGCCCAAGCCATCTCTTTTCCTTCCTTAAGATAGAATCACTCAAAGGTTAAGAGTCTGAACTTTAAAATTATTGTTTGGGTTCAGATCCCACCTCTGCAAACTTGAGGGATATCTCCTCACTCTGGAGCAGAGTAAGGAGTAATGATAAGATAGGTAAAAGAGCCTGGCACATAAGAGGGGGGGGAAAAATGTGATCTAAAGAGGATCGCAAGTTCAAGCCCAGCCTCAGCAACTTAGTAAGACCTTGTCTTAAAATAAAATATTAGAAGAGGCCAGGATGTTGCTCAGTGGTTAAGTGCCTCTGGGTTCAATCTCCCCTATTTAAAACACACACGTACACACATACACACGACCAAGTGCAAGAGTTAGTTAATCCTGGAACCCCCCAGGTTCATGGGTTTTTGAGGTTCAGAACCTCCTACCCACCAGTGTGTCAGATGATACTTTGATCTGGGATAGGTAATTCAGACTTCCAGAAATGGCTCCTCCAACTTGAGATCCAACATGAATCTCTTCCTAGGTTAGTGGGTCTCCTCTTAACCTAGCTCCAAGACTGCTTCAGGCTGAGTCTGGGAAAAGTATCCTTTAGGTAAGTGGTTCTCAGAATGACCAGCAGCATCAGCTCTACCAGGAAGCTTGTTAGAAGTGCAGTCTCAGGCCCCCACCCCACCCACTGATGAGAAACTAGAGGCCCTGCCAGCCTCACACTTCACATCTCCACCCAGTACATATTCCACAGAATAGAACTTCACTCACAGGCAAACACTGTGACAGCTAGTTATGGGGCTTAGCTTTCTGGTGTCACCTCCAGTGATGATAATGCAGGCTCACTTTTGGGAACACATCTAGGGATGGTCTAGGTGGGGTCACCAGACCCCAAATTCTTTTTTAACCAAATCCATGCCCTTTAGCATGCTAGGCAAGTGCTCTACTACTGAATTACACCCCCAGCCCTCAGGCCTCTTCTGAACTCACCCATTTGGAAGTCAGAGATGAGACCCTTTGTTGTCAGATATTGGCTGTCATGGTGGGGACCAACATTGAGAGCCTCTCATACAGGCATCTGACAATACACTCAAGAACCATTCCCTCCTTTGTGCAAAGATTCTTACCCTGGGCCTTCTCTTAAAATACACAATAACTCAGTATTGGGATCTAACTGCTTCTGAACCTAAGCGGCAGCCTGGAGGTGGGGGGGTGTCCTGTGTGTAAGGAGAACCTGGGGCTGGCCTGCCCAAGTTCTTTGGAGGAGTCGGGAGGAGAGAGTAATGGAGAGCTTGCAGGGAGGATAGGAGAGATGAAGAGGAAGTGGCTGCTAGTGAGCTTTGTGGGTGGGTTGGAGGAACCTGCCAGAGGCTGGGAAAACAGGCCTGCCTGGGAGCAGGTCTGAGACCTCTTGGGGGCAGGGAATACAAGAGTGCTATTGTGCTGGAGGAGCCCAGCAGGGGCCCAAGTCTGGCTAGAGTCAGTGAAGGATGTGTGTGTGAGTGAGGCTCTGGGCAGGAGACCCCATGGTGTGAGGGTCCAAGGGCAGCTGGCTGGCTGACTTGGCCCCACCCCATTGGCCCTGGGTCAGGCCTCCTGGGTGTGGTGGGAAGTGTCCAGCCAGAGGACTCTGCAAATCTCAGCCCTGTTAGCCTCATGGAGAAGCCAGCAATGGTGGCCTCCTGTACAACTCAAGCAACTTAAGCTTGAGGAGGGGCAAAGGAAAGGGATTCAGCCTTCTGCTTTGCAGAGAAATTTCTTAGCTCTGTTGCTTCTTAGCCTAGGCATAGGCAAGGTAGAAGTATCTCACTGATTTTACAACCAGGAAACGGGCCCAGGGGGATTGGTGACAGTCAGTGGGTAGAGCTGCAGTGACTGGGAAGGGGACTGCAGGTTGAAAATTTTGTCAAGTGGATTCTCTTGAGTGCAATCTTTGGGGAGAGATGGCTGTGAATGAAGGTGGCTCTTGGATTGCCAGCAAAGTTCTAGTTCTGCCCTAATTAGGCCAATCCTAATCCAATCATATTTTGCCCTAATCCTGTCACTGGTCTCTCCTCTCCCTCCTGGCTAGAGCCGTTGGAAGTCTACTTTTAGGACGAGCCAGTCTGGACAGTATCCCTGTCCCTGCAGTGCAGGCTGTAAGTGAATTTAGATGAGAAAATGGGGGTGTGGCTTCATAGAACGTTAGTGCTGAAAGTTCCCCAAGATCATCTGCTTCTGTAGTCTATAGTTAGGGAGGCACAATCCTGCCCTGCCTGTAGAAAATATATCTTCTGCTCCTAAGCGTCCTGATTGGATAAGCAGGAATAGGTCAAGGTTGCCCAAGCCTCATCTGCCATCCTATGGTTACAGTGAGCCTTGGGCCTGGCTGAAGGACTCCAGGCAGTATGGCCTGCTGAAGTATCTGTGAAGGGCAAGTAGAGCCCTCTGTGGGTGAGTGAGGGACCCTGGAGGTGACACAAGGAAATGGGGTGGTGTGTTAGATGCAGTGCTTTGGACAGGGACTCAGCAGGAATAGCTGGGGGAAAAGGTGGCTGGTCCTCAATAGCAGTGTTCTTCAGATTTGTTGAATGGCAGCAACTCCATGATATACTTTACATCTCCACCCAGTACATATTCCACAGAATAGAACTTCACTCACATGCAATGCACTATGACATTTATGCTGGTCACCACCCTCTAGAAAGCTGGAAAACATTGCAGAGTTTCCAAGGTGCCCCATCTACTATTTGCTGTTCCACTGGGGGCTGGGAAAAGTTTGGCCAGCCTCTTGGGCTGGGTTGGGGATGGTGGGTCAGCTGGATGCAGCCACCTGGCTCCTTTTTTGGTCCAGGGCTCTACTCTGCCAGAGGCCTAGGGAAGTCTGGCTCTATTCCTGCAAAACCACCCTTTGCTTTTATATCCTCTGGGCCACTGTTGCTGGGCCCAGTCTTGCTTCAGAGGTACAAGTACTGAGTCTTGAGCAAATCCCATCCCATCCGTCCTTCCTGAGCTGGAGAGATGGAGGCAGGGGACAGGCAGCAGCAAGGACAGCATCTGAAAGAAGGAAGGAGGTACAGAAGTTACCAGCCCAGCCAGAGCTGTGGCCAAAGGAAGCCCAGACTCCTGGCTCAGCCCCATCCCCAGCACAGGAACAGGCTCCAGAGGCACTGCAGCTCCAGATTGGAGAGGCCCTTACAGAGCAGAGTGATATAGTGTCCTTCACCTCCACTCGCACTCACTGGATAGGGCAATAGAAAATTCTGGGACTATATCCCACTCTACTGTAGCTCATTCTTCGCTCAACTCTGTGGTCCCCTCCGTTCCTTGCTATAGTGCCTCAGGCCAACTTTGCCCCTCTTGCTCCCAAGCAGAAACCAGAGCCAGTGATTATCTAAGAGACATTGGTTTTGTGGCCCCTGCTGAAGCCTGGGCTCCCAGTCCTTGAGCCCTCTTGATCTGAGCTTAACT